GAGAGAGAAGCCCTGGCTGACCTCGAGGCGCAGTTGGAGTTTGAGAGACAGCGCGAGGCGCAAGAGGAGCAACACAACGCGTCAGACGAGGAGGCCGGGGCGCAAGTCCCGACAGAGGCGGACTACGACGAGGCACAGCGGGTCGAAGACGAGGGCGAAGCGGCGGAAGGCTACCTTGACCCAGTGAACAGACGGCGAGTGACCTCGAGCCCTACTGACAGACCAACACCGTACTCGTCTCCTGACCGTAGTGACTGAGGGGCGACAAACCAAGCGGCGGTTGCCCGGACCCCTTAAGGGCAACGAGCCTCCTAGCCTCCGCGTACTGTGATCTGCGTGGCATCGTACTTCTGTGTGTGGTTGACTACCGGAGCGGAGCACCTGCTAGAGTTTCGTAGAGCCTGCCCCGAGTCATGTGATTTGCACCGTACTATGTATCCTGTGTTGCTCGGCAGTCGGGGCAGTAAGAAGGCTCAAGACACTAGGTCCCGAGGCCCACCTCACGTCCTAATGCTTTGTACTGTACCGGACGGCTAGACACCGGAGCGTCGAGACCGTAGTCACGAGCACAGCCTTGTAGATGTGTCGTACAGCCCCCAGTCCTGTGATCTGCATCGTACTGCTATACCACTGTGTGTTGCTAACAAGAGGGGCGAGGTAGTCTGCCAAACCAGGCCAGTGGGCCTAAGCAGAGTGGAGCCAGGGGTAACTTAGGCAAAGGGTATTGCATACAACTGCAATAACAACAGGCCCACTCGTAGAAGCTCCTCCACCTGCCGAACCAGTGGAACACCCACGTCGTACAGAAGGCAGTCGGCGACAAGATACGTACTCATATCTGGTACTCTATAAGGTTCGGTGCGTGATACCTTGGGTGTTTCGGGGCAGAATCCTTTTGTCGCCGAGGAGCACGCTTTCCCGCATGTAACACACATGCACACAGCCAACATACGGGCGGCTCCCGCGGGGGCTCGCCCTCAGGCCCGGAGAAAGAAACAAGAGAGCTATTGTCAAGTCTAAACCACTTGAGCCATAAAGGGCAGCGGAATATATACATGTGAGTATGCCACCATGCCATTGCTGTAAGTACCTACCCTTGGGGGTGTTTCCGGATTCACGCCTGACAGGGCTGAAGGTTGAAGGGTTGAAGGGGGCTTGAAGGGGGCTTCGAGAGGAGGGGCTTCTGAAGGGGGCTTTTGAAGTGGGCTTCAAGGGGTGAGCCAACATAATCCCCCGTTGTATTAACTCCTGGGGGAGTAGTGGAACAGTTATGATCCCTTGGATCTAAAGGCTGTGCCCTGCACACGGTCAGCAAGTTGTTTTGGCTGCTACGCAGAGAGAGCTATGGTGTCAAGTAAAACCACGTGAGACATAATGGGCAGCGGAATATATACATGTGAGTATGCCACCATGCCATTGCTGTAAGTACCTACCCTTTGGGGTGTTCAGGAAACAATCAGACTCTAACTAATTTTCTTTTGCTGGAAGCATGGCCGGCACATTCACACGTACAGGCTTGATGCCCTGTCTTCAAGTATGTTTTCGGAGTTGGGCTCAGTTGAAACAAATATGATTACCTTGGTAATTCAGGATGATACAATCACTCCTGTTTGACTGAAAGACTGCACTGTCGAAGAGATCTGTTGTACATGATCAGATCCTAAGCGCTCACATACGAATTATGCAAACGTGCTTGGTGTTCATGTTAGAACTTTAGCAGGCCTCTTGAGAGAGGTGTTAAGCTTCACTCTTCTGGCTCGCGGACGTATGACCTTGCAATGACGTCCGGGTGAAGCTCGTCTGGATCTGACCACAAATCGGTTCCTCGTCTGAAGAGAAGATCCCTAAGAAATGATTTTCGGCCTTTCGAAAGGCTTCGTCATAGACCAGTTCCTCACGTGTGAGGTTTGTTAGTCTTTGGAACTCTTCATCGACGACAGGCTCCTCAGGTGTATGGCCGGATGGACTAGACTTCGGCTTTGGCGCAGCTTGAGAGCTGGTTTAGCCTTTGCCTTAGACTTGGACTTGGACAATGGCTGTCTCTGTCTCTCTCTGTTACCATTTGAGGAAGCCCATGATTTTTCTGACTCGTCACCTGAAGGAGAGAGGGCGTTTCTATGAAGGTTATCATAGAACGCATGTGTTGATGCTGACGGCGGCTGGTCGTTATTGGGATCGTCAGACTCTGAATTTTTTGTTCAGTGAACAGTGCCTCAAGAGTATTATGAAGGTTAGTGTGCCTTCTGTCGAAGTCTGAGGCAGTCACGATTGCTTGATTGAGCGCGGTTCGTGCAGTTCTGAGATTTGTAAGGAGAATTTCTACTCTTGATAGAGTATTTTGATGTCTCTGCGCTTCCTCACGTCGCTCTTGGCTTTCCCTCTGGATAGAGGTTTGGACAGCTGCTAGGATACGGAGTGTATCCGCGTAATGAGGAAGAGGTAACCTCACAGTCATGTCATCCATCACTTGGAATGGAGCATCGGTTGGATTGAGGTTCCTTGCAAGAAGATCTATGGAGGGTGTGAATTCACCTGTCCAGACATCTTCTTCCTCATGAGTCTCCAGCTGTTGTCTTGTTCTTTGAACATATTCCAATCCTAAAGCGACTGTCAAGAACGTATGGACGCTCACAAGCGTATGTTTCCGCTGAATGACAATCTCCTAGCTCTCCTGTACCTTGTGCAGTCCGATCTCAATGAGATCCAGAGAGAAAGGTTAGTATCCGCGTTAACCAACCAAGGGTACCGAATTGAGACCTACACGTACCCTGTGGTACGTCAGACCATGTTTGACCAATTTGCAGCAACCAGAACTGGTCTGCAAGATCCCAATATTCGGCACTCTTCTCACAAGAAGGACCGTCATGGCAGGAGAGTGGCAGGAGAGACCAACGCCGCAGACGCGGAGGCCGTAATTTTTTCATTCTCAATTAAAGTGAATATGATGGAGCTGAAGGTGTGTGGCTCCAGGACGAGGACACTCTCGAAGAAGGTTTTCTCGCCCTCGAGGATGAAACTGTCTTCTGGACTATAGATGAAAATGAGGCTTTTGTTGCACGGAGATTCAAGAAGCGAAAAGACCAAGAATGCGTCCCGAATCACCGGGAAGAGCAAAAGGCGGTAAGCGAAAAGGACGTGGCCGCTTTAGGTCATATCGCGGAAAAGGGAGAGCCAACCAAGCAGAACATTATCAAGAACCAACCGATCCCAGTTATTACGGTAAAGGAAAAGGAAAAGGAACAAAGAAGGGCGGTGAGGGCAAAGGAAAAGGAAAGGACAAAGGAGATAAAGGAAGTTCCTTCAAGGGAACCAAAGGAAAATCCAAAGGAAAGGAGTCGGCAAAATCCGCATCCTTTCAAGGAGACCCTTCCGGCGAGAGTATCGCCGCACCGGGCTGGGATTCATGGTACTTGGATGCCTCTTTGAGCTCTGCAGAACTGTCTGTACCCCACCATGAATGTCACTGGCAGGTGCCGACCTCAGGAAAAATTGATTTTCTCGAGCTCGAATGAGTCACAAGGCAGCCCTTTCTGGATTAAGAGTAGGTCAGCCCATTGATCTTAGAAGTGGTCTTGATCTTGATCGACCACAAGTTTGAGCGAAACTCCTGAATATCATTAAAGATCAGGAACCGGCGATCATCGTCATGTCGCCCGACCAATCTCAATGGAATAGCTGGCATTTACAATGGAAACAAGGTTCACAGAAAGGTTTAGCTATTCTCAGATTCTATAAGTCCATCGCAGACCACCAAATGAGACTGGGACGATACTTTGTTCTTGAGAATCCATACTATAGTAGACTTTGGTCTACTAAGGAGGCAAAGCGAATGCTTCTTAACCGTAAGGTTTCTTATGAGGTGTGTAATCTGCAAGCCTATGGCATGAAGGATCCAAAGGGATACTACAATCCGCAGAAGTTCCGGTAGTACTAAACAATCAGAGTCCTCTCCCAAGAGTGACTCAGGTGTTCACGGCTACGGACTCAAAACCAAGTTGTCACAAGTGTATCCTTATGAGTTCTGTGACACCTTCACAGCCTGCCTGTCAAAATTCCTAGGCAGAGACTCATACGCAGCCCATCTGTCTCTTGTCACGGACTTGCTGCAATTTTCAGGTGATGAATGTCTTCAATGTCTGTCGATGCTCATCGACCAAGAGTACTCTCACCTGACAGTTAGTCCCCTCAAGGACTCCAAGATTATTTATGCAAGACGCGAAGATTCGTTCGCTTGTGACCAAGGTTAACTCTCTGCCGAACAAAACAGAGATGCCACCGCATCATTCCAAACCATCTCCGTCCCTTGATGCACTGGTTTCAGACATTACTCATTTCCGATCGCGCATGCTACCAGGATCGGGTTTTGAGCAGTGTACCATTTACTGAGGTACACTTGGTACTACTAAGGCACTCACAAGTGCCACCGATGGTTTCGTTGTCTTCTGGAACAAAAAAGCATCCCAGCCTCAGCATCACTTGCTGCCTTCCGCATCAAGTTGCCGGGGAGAAAATACACCCATCAACATTCTCGGGGGTGCTGTTTCAGATGACGGGAGGTAACACCCCAACGGCGGTCAAGCCGCCGCCAGATGTGCTCATGCCTTCTATGGAAGTGCCGCCGTCGGACCCTTCCGAGCCCATGAGCACTGACCGGTCCCGTGTTAGCACGGATGACGTAGTTATGCCGGATCCTGAGCAGGATATGCCGCCGGCTTCGCCGCCGCGACCGCCTCCTCCCAGTCCTCCTCCTCAGAGTGCAGTTCCCTCTGATGCGCCCGTGGCTCCTGCTCGGGCCAAGCCTCGCTTCATCAGAGAGAAAGGTTTCACCTCACAAACAGAAGTCACCGCCACAAGTGCCGGCCGAAACCAAAGGCAGCGCCACAGACTTCTGCAGAGACCGATTTTACCTATCCAAGAAGGAGAGGACGAATCTTCGGGGGAACTAGTTCCGGACGACCCCGGACAACCTTCTGCTCCTCCACACACTTCTGGTGAAAGTGATGCAGAATCACCTTCAGATGGCGCTTGATCTTCAGCCGGAGCGTGTGTTATCCCTTGCTCGGCACTTACGTGCCCCTCTGGTTGGCCATAGCCCGGAGGGCCGCATTCGCCTCGCCTACCAATTGGGGAGGGAGGCCGCTCGCATCTTTACAGGCGAGCGCCGCTGCTTCCAAAGCGCCAGCATCAGCTCGCGCCGGACTGTGTACGTGATCTTGGCGGGCGACCTTGTGGAGCGCCCCTTCTTCACCCCCCACTCCACCGACATCTACTTCAAGACGGTCAAACCGCGAGGCGAGTTCGACCCAGCTTCTATTTCCCACACGGCTTCGCGAGCATTTCCGAGGCGGAGGCCTTCTGTCTGGGGGCCGGGCTTCCCGGCCTTCCTAGATCCCAGTGATGACCGAGCTCTGAAGGGATGGCGCACGGCAGCAGATTCTGGCGCGGACGAGCAGCCAGCTCGGCGCTCTAGACCAGATGGAGGCCCGGCTTTCCATGCCAGAGGAGCGGGGCGCCCAACCGTAGCGGGGTCGGGGTTGGGGCTGGGGGGCGCAAAGCTCCTTGGATGGGCTCCGCAGTTGCTCGAAAAGATGCAAATCTCAGCCAGGGTCAAGTGGATCAGTTGCTTCAGCTGGCAGGGCAAGCGCTCAAACTTTTTCAGCCCCTTTGGCAGCCCCGAAGCCGCCCAAGCGCCACCCTGGTACTGCGTTCGGCGCGGCCAGCGCTGGGGGCACCGACCTCCTCTCAGACGACTCTTGGCCGGCAGACCCAGATTCTCGCCACGACCCATTGCAGCTCCTTGGATCCGGCGGCGACTCCGAAGAGTCCTCGAAGGTGACGGTGTGAAAGGCATGGCGGCCCGGCAGCTCCTTCGAAAGCAGTTTCTTCAGCATCCTAGGTGATTGCACGTGCCCGCTAAAAGGTCGCCACCTTCGAATGGAGCCCGTTCTGACTCATGATAACATCCACAGTTGTTCATGGGACTTTGTCGTCCTGATGCTTGCACGGTATTCGGCAGAGCTCCTGCAGTAGGAGAGCTTCTACGTACATACAGCCAGCTTTGTCCCCTACTTGCAGTGTACCAAGCGCTTTCAATACAGGCGCCCAGGATTCGTGCATCGCAGACAGCCAGTGGTTTGCTCCGCCACCCAGCTCATCAGCCTGCTCGCTGGATTGGGGATTTGGGCACATGCCTGGGGTGGTGGTACGGGGCTCCGACGAGGTTCCGGCCGGGTTCCGACCTGCTTCCGACCTGGTTCAGACCGGGTTCCGACCGGGTTCCGACCGGGTTCCGACCTGGTTCCGACCGGGTTCCGACCTGGTTCTGACCCGGTTCCAACGTGGTCCCGACGTAGATCAAAAGGAGCAGCCAGCCAGCCAGATGCGGGATGGGTGATGCTGGGCAGGTGGGGGCAAGAGGTTGGGCATGTGAGTGAAGGAAACTAGCATTGTCTTGTGTGGATTCAGAAATTCACTTCTTCTGTCCGTTGGCTGTTTCTTTATGTTTTGAATTACCAAATTTTTGCCCTTCTCATAAAAGTGTAGAGGGCCATGGTGGTAAAAGAGCTGATTTTGCTTCAGTGTATCTAATTCTTTTTCGCATCTTATCTTTTTCCGTCACCTTCGAACCTCTTACTTCTCTTACGGTTGTTAGCTTTGCTCCTGCGAGGCTTTGATCGTTACTGGCCTCCGTGAACAGTTTGCTATCCCCAAATGGCCCGGACCAACTTCGTCCAAGTTGTGCATATTCTGAGAACGATTCCGAATCGAGCAGCTTGGCCTAGCAACGTTGCGCGAGCCAAGCTCGTCCAGATTCTGCTTAGATTCGTGCAGATTCTGGAGCGACTTCGTATCGGTATCGAGCTGCAGCTCTTGCAAAAGTTATGGCTTTTGTGTCTTACATTCAATTCTTCAGCCACCTGCAGCAATGCACCAGCCTATACACCCAGGCTAACCCCGAGTTAGGGGGACGTATTAAGCATATCAGGGGTTTTACAATTTATTCGGGCTATGCTGACGCATCGGCATCCACCTACTAGTATTACCATGTCTTCACATGTAGCGGCCGTCTGCAGCCGCGGGGCTCTGAAATTCCATGGAGTCCCAAGATGTGACCAGCGGCGATGATGCCGCTCACTGCTTTCTGCGTGGCTCGGATTCGTGTATGGCATTTGCGTGGGACTCGTGACATGGCCGTGCTGATTTGATGGAAGGTGGTTGCTGCACTTTCTCTCTCTGCTGGAATCTGTCGGCGCCCCATAAGCGAGGGTGATCACATGACGAGGTGCCAGCAAACATCATACAATGAAGGCAGCAGTGCTATGGCAGAGTCTGTGTTCAAGTGATTGCTCTGAGGTGAAGCGTCACAGGCCGAATGTTTTCAGCTGATTTCGCGATAGCTCACGCCTTCTGACACTGTCAGTGTGCGCGTGTGTGTGTGGGTGGGTGTGTGCGTGTGTGTGCGTGTGTGTGTGTGGGGTGTGTGTGTGTGTGTGTGCGTGTGTGCGTGCGTGTGTGCGTGTTTGCAGGTGTGGGTGTGTGTTTGTTGGATCAGCTTCCCCGGAGGTGTCCGAGAATAATGTGGAGCTGTTGCAGCGCAAGCTGACGCTGGAGCCAAGATTGCCTCCTCACGTGCTGCTCTTTGTCGCAGATGACGTGGGCTGGGCGGGTCTTGGGGCCCACCGAACCGCTGGAAATTCAGCAGAGGCCCAGGGCAAAGCCGAGACGCAGACCCCAATTTTGGATAAGCTTATCCAAGACGGGGTGCTTCTAGAGAGGCATTATGCTGCTTCAAACTCCGTGCCATCTAGGTGTTCCCTGATCAGTGGCCGGTTGCCCCGAGATTTTCCAGTTGCCCCTAGAGGGATGTCAAATCCTGCAACATATTGGAATCCATCAGACAACGTCTCTGGCTTCTATGGCATTCCACGAAACATGACAGGTATCGGCAGCAAGTTAAAGCAGGCAGGCTACGCCACTCATTATGTTGGGAAGTGGGCTGCGGGCCATGCCACTCCAGAGCAGACTCCCTTAGGCAGAGGCTTTGATTCGTTCCTTGGGTTCCTAGGCAACGAGAATGATTATTGGACCAAGCAAAGTGATTTGGAGGATTTCATTGCAGATCCATGCCTTTACAAATTCCAGGATTTTTCTTTCTACAATGCCACATACCGTGGTGGTGTTGCTGACACGATTGCCGTAGAACTCGGCTGCGACGAACGCGTGAAAGGCAAGTCCTTCACAAAAACTGGCTGCAGCGAAGCGGATCCCAACGATTGCTTGCCTGAGAAGTGTTACGAAGAGTCCATGCTTGTTGAATATGCCGCGAGACTCATCCAGAACCACAACTCTTCGAAGCCATTGTTCCTTACTTATGCATCGCACGAGGTGCACCTTCCACTGGAAATCACAGCTTCAGCCTTAAAGTTAGAAGAGAAGGCGCAGAAGTTTCTTGAGGGGAGTGGTGTTGAAAGAAAACTTCCCTGGACAATGGCCCGCAAATACATGGCTGCAAGCTTATCTTACATGGACTCCGCAATGGGAAGGCTTATTGATACTCTGAAGGATCGCGGCATGTTTGAAGATACGCTGATCATTTTCATTTCCGACAACGGTGCTAGCCTACAGTTGACAGCAGGTGGGAACAATTATCCCTTGAAATCGGGAAAGTTCTCAGATTGGGAAGGCGGGGTGCGCACCAATGCTTTCCTCTCTGGAGGTTTCATCCCAGCCAGACATCGCGGCAGCAGTTTTCATGGGGTCATCCACATCGCCGACTGGTATGCAACTCTTTGCAGTTTGGCTGGTGTGAGCCATGTCGATGATGTTTCTGCCCAAGCCAATGAGCTCCTTCGTCTCCAGGGTAAACCACTGCTAGGTGAGGTAGAGGGGCGGCCGCAGCTGCAGAACATCTTCTCCGGAATCAATGGCCGGTTGGATGTCTTACATTTGAGCACAAACGCAGTATTGCGGTGGCCTTACAAGCTGGTTACTGGGCAGCAAGGAGACAGCTTCTGGCCTGGCCCAGTCTTCCCGAATTGCAGCAGCGACGGCCCAGATGGTGCTTTTGTGGATGTCTACACACACATGATTCCCATTGACCCACCGGATTTCAACATGTTGGAGGATTGTGGAGTGAGTGGCTGCCTCTTCGACGTCGAAGCCGACCCGGGGGAGCGCTCAGATCTTTCATCCGACGGAGACTATGCCACTGTCCTAAAAAGCTTACAAGAAGAGCTGAAGAGTCTCAATTCGAAGACTCTCGCGGCAGCCATTGGTGAGTCACATCCAGAAGCTTGCTTGCAAGCGTTCCAGTTGGGCGGCTTCGTGGGTCCATTTGTCGATGTGGGCGACTTCTACACAGCTCAAGTCCCGGGTGGTAAAGAGCTGGAGGCTTACAGACAGGAGCGGGCTTTAACAGCAACCAAAGACGAGGAACCGGTGAGCCGACAGTTGTGAGCATGACCACTTTTTTGATTGGGGGTTGGGGAAAAGGGGTCATGATTTGCTGCCCGTGCCGTTGACTCCGCAAGCCTAAAATGGGGAGGGACAGTAGCTCCTTGTTTCCAACGGGACCCCTCTGGCTGCACACGAAGAGGGAATCACGGAAAGGGGAAGGGGTAGAGGAAAGCAGGAGAGCGGGTAATTTGAGGTCAGATTTACGGACGCGTAGTAGCAGTTGTTGTTGTACCAGCAGCAGCAGCAGCGGTGAGAGTTCCTACAATTAGAGGCTGCTTATAAGCAAGTCTGGATATGTGTGCATGCGCGCGCGGCCGATGCTATGTATGTCAGACTGTGTTTACGCATGCAGGCAGGCACGCATGCATGTTGCACTCATGTTTTTTCTTTGCTTGTGCATGTGTGCAGAGGCGTGCGTACGAAGTACATCTGATAAAGTCGGAGCAGGAGCTGATGGAGCTGCACGAGAATTTGACAGATCCCGGCTTCGTCAATCGAACTGCTGAAGCCTTGAAACAGCGAGTCTTGAGCCAGAGAAGTACAGTGAGCTCAGAGTGTTTCACGGAATGAGGATTGGAGGCAACTCGAAGCAAAAAGGCACTGGGGACCTGGAGGTGAATGCACTTTCGTCGCACCGCGGGATTTCGCTTCGGCTCCACGGCAAGTTTGTCTGTGAGGTCCCTCCCTCCAGACCACAAAAACCGCGCTTCCCGGCCTTTCCCCCCAATACCAGTCTTTTAGTGCTAGATTCGCTGCTAGATGCCAGCTTGTGTGCTCTCTGCAGGCCCCTGACCCTTGAAAGACTGGCTTCCACATCTATCTCAATCATCGTTTGCGCGGAGACGCCGGCCGAGACGCGTTTCGGTGATGCGACCTGCAAAACGCTCCAGTTGCAAGGCTGCTCGCAAAATAGAGTCGCACGAGGAAGCGACCAAGGTCTTAGTCGAGGAGGATCGAGGAGGTGCAGAACCCAGAGACCCTTGCTCCGCTTCCTCAAGCCTTTTTCGCAGGCATGTACTGTCCGATGAAGGCCAGATCTGTGCCATGGCGTGTGCTGCATGAGCGATGGGGCGGGAGCAGAAACGACGGCAAGAAGCGCAGGGACCTTACTTGTAGCACTCGTCACCCACCAGTGATGCGTTGCTCACGCTTCCACAGAGATGGCAGACAAAAGAATCAAAAGATTGGTTTCGGCTAAGCTGCCCCTCCCCCAAAGGCGAAGAGTCAAGCAGCTTCTTGAGCGAGGCCAAGTGGATCGCAGGCTAAGTGGGACTGGGTAGATCAGGGTATCAGGGTGGTCACGTGATTTCGATGTAAACTGGGGGTGTTGTGCCCTGAAGGTTGCTGACGCCCGAGGAGGCACAGAACTTGTTTTTATGTATCGACAGAGGCGAGGTCCAGCAATTCGGGATTGCTGCCTTGGCCGCTATAGAACTTAACGGATATTATGAAGCCCCTTGGTGCTGTGGTGTGCCCGAGATGTCTTTGCTTGACTTTGCAGCTTGGCGGGGCCGGGACAGCTTCGTTTCTGCTTTGGTCGCTGCCAATGCCGACCCAACGGAGAAAGCCCTCGACGATGCAGCTGCCATCATGGCGAAGCTTCCCAGGTCGTATGTGGCTTGGCTGGCGCGTGCGGCCGCCCAGTCCAGGCACCGAGCCAGCCAAGACGCGACATCGCCCACGTCTGTGCATCTGGCTGGTGCGAAGTGCATCTGTGAAGATGGTTATTTGCGGTCCGCGTCTCCGTGGGTGTTTGCGCCTTGTGGGCACCGCTGTTGTCCTCTGTGTCCTTGGCGCGCCTTTCGCGGGTTTGGCTATGGACAAGTGCCGGAACTGTTGTGTCCCGTCTGCGGTATATCGTTTCAGGACCCTGCTTTGAGCTTCGCAGGGCAGCGGCGTGGCATCATCAGGCACGGTCCTGCTGGTCCTTTTGCTGAACATGTCCCTTGCAAGACTTGCGGCTGTCTCAACGCACCTGGGTCGCGCTGCTGCAGCAACTGCAGCTTCGCGGTGGATCAAGTGTCCTATGTTTTTGCCCAGGAGTCAGAAGCAGAGTTGCAATGTTTGGGTTTTTTCTTGCCAGATTGGCTGAGAGTACATGGGCAGAAGGCACTGCGACGGCGGCGGACGCTCAAGAAATGGCAGGCGCTGCCGGAAGAAATACCGCAAGATATGGAAGAGCGAGTTGAACTGCAAGCTGCTCTGGCGGCCAGGCCAACTGGAAACGCTGGAAGTTCGGAGTTTTGTCTTCCAGCGTTTTCTGCAATCTGCACGCTCTGCACACCCTTGCTCCAAAGCATGGGTTGCAGATACCTTCATTCGGCCAAAGCTAAGCGAGCAAAACGGCTCGCCGGCGCCTTCCGTGCTCTGAGTCCCAGCGAAGTGGCTTCGGAAAAGCTCGGGGTCACACGGAAGAACCGCTCCGAGCGTTTCCGAGCAGCAGCCGAAGTCGGAGATTTTCGGCGAGTCCAAGCAATGCTTGACGCCGGAGTGGACATCGATGCTCCCAACGAGTACGGTCAGACCCCCCTTTTGCTGGCAGCCTTCGAAAACCATCGAGACGTGGTTGAGGCCAGGACGCTTTCAGGTCCTTTGGATCGAAATTCGACCTTGCCAGCCTTGCCAGTTGCTTCTTTCCTGGGGCGCCGACGCGGCCAAGCCCTGCCACGGTGGTGGTCCTGGCGGCCCTGGCGGCCCTGCCGCCTCAGCCGCCGCCCTGCGGACGTGCAGCAAACGGCCGCCAAGGCCTGTCGCTGTGACTTCCAAAGACACCTCACATGGCCTCTTAGGATTGCCTCAGGTCGGCACTTCCGGTGAGACTGCCGTTGCCAGAGCACGTGGCTCATCTCGGAGCCCTACATGTGGGCGGCCTTGATCTGCCACGTCATAGATTGAAGGTCTTGGCAGTCACAACGCAGAGGTAGACGGCTTTTTCGAGGAATGCTTTCTGACCTGGCTCCAGGACACGACAAGTTCTCGAAAGTTGAATTGAAAAGACGCAGCTTCGAATGTGTTGCAGTTACAATGAAAGGAGCTTTGGAAGTCCCTTCCGCCTGCTCCTTTCGCCCGTGAGGTTGCAGCCTAAGTGCGCTCGTGCATCTTTCCACGGGCATACCACTTTGGCCTGCGAAGATTTGAGGGCGATGCACCCGGCGATGAACCACTGGCTCAGGACTCCTGGGTGCAAAGCTGCGGCAAAGCCACATGTGTGCCAAGGAATGACATCCCATAATGACATTCTGGCAGCGTGACTTTCGCAAGGAATCTCAGCATCAGAAAATGACGTCACCCACCCAGAGCACCTCGTCAGCCAGCATTGACAGTGTGTGGATCAGAGCCTGAGGTGCTCCCGTTCAAAGGCTCGAGGCCGTGGAGTGGACCGAAGCCGTCAAGACTCTGCACCGCAAAGAAGCTACTACTTCGATGCAGAGGGCCTCGTGACATCGCAGCTTGCGGCAGCAGTGGAGTGCGCTTCTTTAGAGGCGGTTCCACAGATGCGCTTTCTGCACTACGCCAGAGCCGGGGGCTCCCTGCCACCGCACACGGACCTTTCGAGGCGGGGGCGATTGCACTCGCATCAAAGCAACCAGCAACCTACTCAGCGACCCAGCATCTCGGTTTAAAGCATGGGGCCAACATTATAAGTTTATAAGCTCGCTGATGAAGACGGGAGCCAGTATCCTAATGTCGCTCAACGTGCACCACCACCTCGTCTGATGCTTTCAGCGTAGCTGGTCTCTTTGTACAGTACTCGTATCTGATGTGGGTTTCGCTAGTTCAGGTATGACTCATGAAGGGCTGCAGATGTGGCAAGGTGTCGGATGCACGCAAGGAAAGGTAGGCTGAGCTTCATGTTGGTTGCGCTGTGCGAGCTTCAGACTTTCTCTGTTCAGGCGCGATTGGCGCACCGGGCAGAGAACGAGCCATACCTTCATCTTATACCTTGAGGGGGGTGCAGAGGAGGGAGGTGGCGAAACAGTCTTGCTGGAGAGTCTGTCGGGTGGCCCTCTCGCCGAAGCAAGAGCCTCAGGTGAACTCATGGACCAACATAGCGCAAGCAGATGGAGCGGATGAAACCTTAGGTGAGCCCCGTTCGCGGAAGGCTGCTGATCTTTCCCCACGACTGTGCGCACAAGGCTCTTGCGTGGGTGCAGTCTGCTTCATGCCACGAGAGAAGATCTCGAAGGCAATGCCTGTCGTGCACCCAAAGCTCCTGCTGCGTGGCGAGATGAGAGAAAAATTGTCTTACTGGTCTCTGTTGGTTGCATTTGTGTGTTGTTTTCTCTGCTACCAAGTAGTGCTTTGCTGAATTATCGCAAGCTGCAGGAAATTTCAAGCTCAAGCCACGGGGGCTTTGCAAAACCCATATGATCATGTTTCTGTCAGAGGCATGTAGTCAAGTCTGGCAGCACCTCGAACGTTGTTGGACAAGACAGTGAAAGGGGAACGCCTGTGCAGGCGTCGAGACCAGTTGCATACATTACGTCGTAGGAAGATTCGACATTCAGCTGCTACTTGCTGTCGCCATGCCTCGTGGCCCTGGAAAGAGGATCATCACGGAAGCCCATATGAGCTGGGTGGCTTTGGTCTGCCGTTTCTGCAGGAGCAACTACAATTTGGACTACTCGCGTCCAAACCCTTAGCTCAGCTCTGAATTCAGAGAGGTCCGAGCACAGACTGTGCTAGGCTTCAATGGAGTCGAACACCAAGACCAGGCAGCGGAGACGAACCCGTATCCAGCGAAAGTGCGACGGGAGAAACATCTTACGTGTGCTTCTGGGTCCCCGTTGCAGGAGCGATGCATGGACGAGGCCAAACCATTCACAACAACCGTTTTCCTCGACAAATGAAATCCAACAAATTCAACAGACAAAATCTTCATTCCTTCATCAGGCTTCAACCGACGGCGGGGGCGAAGACTTTGCAGCTGGCTGCCGAGCCATAGAGCGGGGGGAATCCCAGCTGATGCTTGAACCGCGGAAGCTGCACGTTCCGCTCGTTCCGGAGGTCGCGCTCCGCAACATGCCGTGCTCCCGCCAAGAGCGGATTCGCAGCATCGCAGCACATCTGCAAATCGCAATCTGCGGACTTCGTGCCTCGTGAGGCCAGAGCTTCAAGAGGCGTACCGGCTCACAATGATCAGCAGGAAGCCAAGCGGGGCAAGCGCATGTGTCGCGTCTCCGAAGTGAATGCGGCGACGTGTGCTGTCGGCTTCGTCCAGCTTCGCCTCACAGTCATAAGGATAAGGGAACACTGCCGAAGTCATGCAATCCGTATACCATCCTAACCGCTTGGTAGCATCAGGGTGTCGATGTTGCCGTGGCATGGACCCTCGACGAAGCTGCACCAGATTGAAGCCTTCCCGACATGTCAGTGCAGCCAGCCGAAGGCCGTTCAACTGGTGATGAAGCTGCTCAGAAGAGAGCGAACGAGCTCGTCCTTCAGGTGCCACTGTTCCTGGCCTTCGCGTGACCTTGTTCGTGTGCGGAAAGTTCAGAAGCCTGGGAGTTGAAGCAGGCAGTCGACAAAGGAGGCTGGAATCTCTCGCGATTCGGGTACATCTGTGACTTTGACTATTTGTCTTCAATCCCTTCAGGTCCGCAAGTGCGCGAAACATTCATGAAGGAGATTTCAGGACATTTGCCAGAGGCGGAGCAGTATCCCCTGTCTAGCAGCATCTAGCAGCAGAATGCAAAGAGTGGTGCTTTTCGTGCAGCCTACAGGGCACGCTCCGAGGGATGGACGACTTGCGCTCGCCTCAGAACTCGGCGTGTCGGTCTTGCAGCACGGCAAGAAGCGTCGAGCGACTCCTCATGGCTCGAGTGCGTCAAGAAACTCTTCGAAGCCAATCCGTCTACTGTATTTCCTTGGCCCATGCACCCTTAAACTCGCTACGAAAACTCAGTCGACATTCTACCTGCATGCTGCTGCGATGCATACATGGCTCTGCCAGCGCCATCTGCAGGGAGCCTTGGATTGTGAATTGCCAGGCTCTCCGGTGCACATGGATTATGGATCATGGGAGCCATGAGCTGAAACCAGGAAAACAGGGTCAGGGTCAGCATGCTCTTCCACGTGCCCTCCGTGCCCTTCCTTCTCCGTCGCCGGTGCCCCTGGCCAAGCTGACAAGCTGATGTCTGCTGGTGTGCTGATCTCTGCTGGCTATTATGGCGCCTCGACCCAGGTTAGGGCCCCCGGTCTAGACCATCCCTTGAGCCGAAGCATCAGACCAGGCGCCATCAGAGGAGCCTTGAGGTTTTCTAGTTGCCGTACCTATGCCTTGCGGATGTGGTTCACACCACTTGGCAATTTGCATTCGCTTCACTTGCTGTCACTTGCTTGTCTTGCCAGAAAGCCAGGAGGCCTGCATGTCGAAGCTTCAAAGTACGAGCCCTGGGTGCTTGGAGGACTGTCGGCACTGTGCGATCCTACAGTCCTACAGGCCCAATCGGAGCTCTTGCGAGTCACAGTCGGAAGCTCTACGGCTACGGCCTACAAGCCGTGTAGTAGAGTCGCGGATTCGATCGGGCTGGAGTCTCGAGCATGCTGGGAACAGAGGCTGATTTGATTGAACTGAAAGGTTTTTGAAAGCAGGAGAAAAAATGAGAAGTTGGAAGAGATGGGGAAATTCGGAGAGCAAGCTGCCAGTAAGATCAACATGATGGCCAGCTGTACTCGCGTCCTTCTCTGTGTTTGACCGGGTCAACCTGCATTGTCTAGATTAGCTTGTAGGATCGCGCAAGATGAAAGGAGTTTCGGTACGCCACAAAATCATCTGAGGGCTCTGAAGCCGGCACACAGTCTTGGCAAAGGAGCTGCGCTTGGTGCCGGGTGCGGGTTGATAGCTCGCTCGGCCAAGAAACGACGAGGCTCTGAAATTTGATGTCAAATCGTGGTTGCGAGTTGGTCCTGACTGCTGCAGATGCGGTCCTTGTCCGTTCTGAGGATTGCGAAGGGCGGCTCTTCCAGACTTGCTGCAGTCAACGTTGGGGAAAAGGGACTGCATCCCAGACCACCTCTGCCCCGTTGTTGCGTTCTTGTGTGAAGATATGTCTGAAGACGGTACGTGTCGCAGGAGCTGAAGCGGGTGATCAGCTGGACGCTGGCGCAACGAGGTGCGTGCTAGCTGTAGAAACGGCTTTTTGGCATGCCTGCATCCAGGAAGACAGGAGACCAAAGACATGCTCGACAACATGAAGACGCTCGGCTTCTCCTGGGCACGGGCCTTGAATCCCGCCTTTTGGCTCCGCAGCAACATCATACGCTACGAGGCGACACGAGCCGGCATCTCTTTAGGCGTCGACGCCGCTTGGACAGCCCTCACACTCGTGGATTGCAAAGCCGGGAGGGCAGGGAAAGGGGAAAGACAGAGCGGAGGATATGAGCGTCCCGGCCGAAAAAGCTGCGCTCTGCGATGGCTCGCAGCAGCGACAACTGCAGGCGGAGGCAAGGCGGCAAGGGCGGCACGGCAGAAGTCGCTGTGCAAGAGTCCACGTTCTGCAGGCGAAATATCGGAATGGAGAGATGACTGTCGTTGAGAAGTTCTTGAACGTCACAGAAGAATGGACGAGAACGAGCGAACAAGTGAAGAACGAAGCGGTCTCCAACTTCAAGGATCCTCTGAATTGTGCCAGCACGCGGCACGATGCTAAGTCGCCTGCACCAGGAAAACGATCCCAACAATCCAGCCCATGGCCAAGCTTCGTTGAGCAACGGCCAATCCAGAAAGAGCGACCTTGTCAGCTGGCCTTGGGTGAGGTATACATGATGTCGACAAGTGGTGCGCGAGGAAACATTTCGCAGGTTCGACAGTTGGTGGCTATGCGTGGACTCATGGCAGATGCCAAAGGTGGCTCGGATTTGATCGGGCAGTTTGATAGAGAGAGAGAGAGAGAGAGTGTGTCGAGCTGATCCCATGTCCTAGCTGGAACAATTCAAGCTGGCAGGCCAGTTGATTGATGCGCCTTGCTTGAATTAGACACATGCTGCGTTGTTGCGCATGACACGGGGGGGCTTTGTTCCACGTTAGCTTGCGGTGAAGCGAGATTTTCATGGCCACTACAGTATACCCTACGATGCACTTGGTATGGGTTGCTGTTTGCTGGATCAGCCCCTTTTTGCTTCGAACCGCCTACGTTACGCGTGCGGTTGCAGTCCAAGCAAGATGGGACTTCCGGCCGCGTGCCTCTGAAAGCTAGGGCCGCTAGGCGTCCGGCAGAGTTTGGACGGACGCCGCAGAAGCGCCGCGGGGGAGCAGTCTTGGTCTCTCCAGCAGTTTTTTGCAGTTTGAACGGCTTTACACTTTCATGCCGGAGCCGACATCAGAGCGTGCAGCTCGGCTTTTGGAGTCGCACGCTGGTGCCCCCTTCTTTGCAAGCGCGCACCACAGGGGAAGTAAGTGCTTGAAGCATCATGGCCGAAGGAAGCAGATTGCTGAGGTGCCAATTCAGCACTGCCTACGTGAAGGGATGACAGTCACCGACATGCTGATATCAGGCCTGAATGGTGCTGAGCTTTTTGGCTTTCTACATCACTGTAGCCGAGCGCTTGGAAGGCCATGGCGCTCGAAAGGCACACTGTGGGTTGGGTTCTGTTGCATTTTCTTGGATGTCTTTTCGAATCTGAGCGGACGGAGATCCAGGGAGTCATCGACACTGCCTTGAGAACGGCCAATTCTGGATACTTATACCGACGGTTGGATTTCACTGCTTCACCAGTTGTTGCCATTGGCTTAGCTGGCTTAGCTGGTACTGGCATCGGGCATCGTCAGTTGCTCTCAAGAAGCTGTTGCTCAGGTGCGTGCAGAGGACTGTGGCACCGAGGATTCGATTCCAATGGAATTAAAAGGCATGCGAGATTCGGTGGCATCCTTTAAAGACCGGATACGCGGGCGCGTGCTGGGCAAACCCGTGCTCCATCCAGAATCAAAGGAAGTCCTCTTTGATGTCGGGTATCTTGCCTGATGTCATGATCTAAAGTTTTGAAAGATTGATGCTCCAAGTTTAAGTGACGATTAGACTACGGCCGTTTCCATTATCTTCGGGCCTCGCCTGGAACTGGGAAGCGAAGCCTACAACTGGCGCTCAGAATTGTCATGTTCACGTCTCTTCTAAGTGCTTTTGTGCAGAGGCACTGTTTTCTGAGGCCTCAGTCCATTTGGGAACCTGGGTTGGTGTTCCTCCGATCTGCAAAACATCAAGTCGGGCTTGGGGATGTCCATTGGCGTGACCGTGGGCTCAGGTGCAGCATTCAGACTAGACGGCCTGGGGCGGTCGATGCGGCGGCAAACCCTCGGTGCCAATGTTAATGTTCCATTTAGTGAAATTTCGTCTTATTGTAGTGCCAGAACGGGCGGGCCAAATTGCTTGAATCCAACATCAGGAGAGAGATGTGAGGTCTGTTGCAATGCGAGCCTGAATATCGCGGGGGGCTGTCGGAATGTCTTCAAGAAGTGGACACCGGGTTGACTTTCCAGAGTTCGGCGAACTTACAAAGCCACTCCCGCAAGTGATTGCGAGCCTCCCAAGTGGGCAGGGTTGTTTGTGTGAGCTCTTACACAGCCTCGTGTTCCGTTTCACGATATGCCTCAGTCATGAACACAGCTGCTGCTGCGAGGCACATGCTTACTGCTGACGAGGCTGGAGACATTGAGACGCTGTGGAAGTCACTGGCTAAGACAATTGAAGTGCCACCCGTCCATGTCCGTTCACCACTGGGGTGCCGTCTTCATGGCGGGATTTGCGCGAAGTGCTACGGTGAAGACCTTTCAACGCCTGGGGAGTTGGTTAGTGTCGGGCATCCATCTGGAACGATCGCCGCACAAAGCATGGGCGAACCTGGTACGCAGCTCACAATGCGAACATTCCACACCGGGGGTGCATTTGAAGGCCAGCACGCAAAATCGTAGCCGCTGTTTGCTTGTTGCAGTCTTACGCCCATGCAGGTTCTGCTGGTGAAGGTGTCGTTGCAAAGCATGCTGGGCGCGTGCGATTGCAGAGCTCCTACGACAAAATTTCCAAGGACGATGTCTCGTGCAAGGCACCCTATCTGATCTCGGCGTTTCTGTATCGAGCAAGCTATAGCAAGCTGCTGCACTCGAAGTGTGTCGCGCCTCTTGATAAGTCCAAAGACTGTAGCCCATGACCAAGGTCAGATCGGTTAGCCAGTGGAAGCGGTCTCCACAAGGTGAGGTGGGCTGTGTGTTGGCGGAGGCGCGTTGTAGGGCTACTCAATGCGGTGTGTTGTGCCGGTCAAAGTCTGCAGACTGAACCAACTCTGTGAGAGGCCGCAACTTTGGAGATCACCGACGGCAGCCATGTCTTGCAGACGGAGAGTTTGGACATTGGTACGTACGTCAAGGTTCTCGATGGCGCCCTTGGCAAAATCCTGCTCGAGTATATGCGGATACATTCGCGACCCCTGGCTGCTGTGGCTGCTGAGTCAATCAATGCATCTCTGTGCCGAGGCGCTTCAGTGAGTTTTGGACAAGTTCTGTACCAGAAGCCAGCCAAGTCATCATCCAGCTGCTCTGCCGAATTCAACTTCAGTTGAGTCTGCACTTGCTTTCATCATGACTTCATTCAAGCTTGGCTTCTGCGGAGGCACAGATGAGGATGACATCGAGACTTTGGACAAGCCGATTAATTCCGACCAGGACGGAGAGATTCTCGTGCAACCTGCGGATACTCTTGGCAGCTGCATCGACGAAGGGGGGAAGCTGGTGCCTGGGACGCGAAACCCAATTGAACTTTCTGATGGTGCCTCCACTAGCAAGAAGCTGTCCGAGATTGTCTGAGGTTTGGGTGTTGCAGGGCTCTGCCGTGGACTTTCAGCACGAAGGTTCAACTTTAGCAGTGCCCCGGCATGTTGCCCAATGACGGAAGCGAACATCGTCATTGGCTGGCTCCATGACTATGATTGCCACTGGGGTCTGCCACTGTCGCCATTTCCCAGGTGAAAGAGGGCGATGCCGTTGAACCTGGGCAACCTCTTGCGCAAGAATGGGCGGCGACTCAATGTTCAGGTGTTCCACGCTTTCAGGCATCCGATGCCTCCTAATTGCTGAAGGTTCATATCTGAAGCAACATTGAACTGCTTAGGCTTAGACATGCATCAAGAATTCCTGCAATGGGCCGAAGTTGTGCAGGAGCCACCGCGATCTTGTGACAAGGCGGCATGAACCCGGTTGTCTTAGAGACGAAGCAAGAGCGAGAGAGAGAGAGAGGACTGTCCCTCTTGGCTGTGTGGAAGCAGAAGAAACAGAGGACGGGGTAGCGCGAACTGCCAAGGACGGCCTGCCCCCAACCCTATGCCCCGGTATGCCGTGCAGAGTCAGCTTGCGCATGCACCATACACTCGCCACTGCAGCCTTTTGATTGTGCAGAAATTGCCACGTGAACCGCATATTTCTGCGCCCGCCCAACCCGCCCTGAGGGGCATTTGCTTGGGCCCCATCCATGTGGCTTTCTTTGATGGGAGAAGTGACTGGGCTGCGGCCCTACTTGCTCAGTCAGTGTGTGTGTGTGTGTGCGTGCGTGCGTGCGTGCGTGCGTGCGTGCGTGCGTGCGTGTGTGTGTGTGTGTGTGTGTGTGTGTGTGTGTGTGTGTGTGTGTGTGTGGAACTGTGTCACCAAGAGTACCATGTAGAAATTGCAGGGGGCCCGAGGGCACATCATACAGCTCGGGCCAACGAAGCTCTGTATGATGTAGCCAGGAAAACGTACCTGCAGGTCAGTTCCTGAGCACCGGGTGTACAGCTCGATTGATCAATGTGCAACCATCAGTCATTGCAAGTTCTTATTGAGTGTCTCAGTTGCCATGTACGGTTCAACAAAGAACAAACTGCCGAGCCTTGAGGCCAGACAGGTACTAGAACCCCCAAAAGCTTCATGCTTTCATGATGCATCAAGCAGTGCTTGATAGCTAGCAGATGAGTGGCTGCGCGATGGATGCCTGCGTGTGACCCAGGTAGTTGCAAGCTGGTCTTGCATTCATGTATCGTGCTACCTGCGGTGGGATCAGCCCATGCATATGCCTGCCGGATTGGTTATGATGAAGGCAGGGATCGCTTGATTGGTTCCCCAAGTGGAACCCCAGGTCCGACTGAAGCTTGTGCTCTGATTCTGCCGGCATTCGATATAGTCAGTGGCGATGTCGTTTTCGTTACTGACGTCATGTCAGCGCTTGATGCCAGGTTTCATTGAAGGTCTTTACCTTTTTCAGATCCGATGGAACCACCGGCTTTGCTATCCGCAAACCAACTTTTTAGCTCTGAGACAGAATCCCAGTAGGACCCCACTTTTAGCACCATGTCGTGGAACGTGATGGGTCCAATTCGTCATGGGGAAGATCGTCCTGGGAAAAGAGCGGATCGTCGGGTTGGAAACATCCGTGACCGGCAACGAGGACCCAGTAAACTTTCGGGATCAACGCCACCTTCACAATCGTCGTCGGTGCCGCGTGGAAATGTTTCAATCCCATCGTCTGTTAGTCTGTTGCCACCGGCTGGGAATTTGGCGATAGCAACTTAGCATCGAACAAGAAGTTCTTTCGGAACATTCAATCCACACCCTGGTCCACCAAAAACGGACTAGCCGGTAAGGACGTCGCTGACCTTCGTGTAACCGAATTGACGCAAAAGGGACGTAATGATTTCAGTCTCCGCTGTCTATCGAACGGAGATTTCCAGAGTATTGTGTTTGTCAGGTCCATTTCGGCAGTAGTGTTCGTATCAAACTTGATTCACCGAATCAGGCAGGATCGGATCGATCTGGATGCCGTGGCAGCCAACATGCACGGCCCAGCTCCGCTGCTCCGCCTGACAAGCATTAAAGAGTCGGCGAGATTTATGCAACCGCTGCTGGGCGAAATGCACCAGCAGCCTCGAGTGCACAGAGCTCCGAGAGTGCAGAATTGGCCAAAGCCAAGAGGAAATTGCAGGAAGCTGGAATTGCTATAACTCCGGAGAAGAAGCCCGAGCTCCAATGGACCATCGCTGCCAACCGCATCAGCAAAGTCTCCGGCTTAGCAGCAAATTTTGTTATCGAGCTCACCAACCAGCCGAGCTCAGTGCCCAGTTCGGTCAGCAAGGAGGCAGTAGACAAATGGCTCAAGAAGCATCAGAGCCAGTTTCGTGGCAAAGCCAATGCTTTCAAGAAACATGTGGCAGAAGTCTGCTCGGTCCTGCAGACATGAGAAGCCACCAAGCAAGCAATACCTCGCCGAAACGGCTGTGAAGCATGGTCTGCAGAAGAAACATGCAGACAGGATGTTTTCCGCCAATTTGTCTACTTTCATTTGTGCTTGTCAATACCAGGCCGCTTGACTAGCCACGGAAGCCAAGCAGGCCAACAGTCAGCCTCTTGCAATTCGTAAGAGACTTGCATCGGCTGTCTGTGCCCTAGGAAGTGCAGCAGCTTTTACGCTTCAGTTTGGAGCTGGGATTCCGAAGATCCCACTGATCCGGGTGCTGCTGTTTCAAACCGCAGCACCCGCATCCTTGTTCAGCGTGGGCGGTCGCCGTCCAACAATCCCTCACAGACTTCAAATGTTCGGAGTGCATCCTGATGATTTGCGCTACTCACTGTTTGAGAAGCCGAACGCAGTGTATGGGATGGCCTTTTCGGACGGCTACCACCAGCCATCGTCTTTCTTGTATGCGGGAAGCACTGCTGTCGGTGCAGCCAAACAAACGATGCTGGATTGAGGGTCCCAGCCGTCGTCGAGCTCACTATCGCTACTGGAGTGTTTACAGCGGCCGGGAAGTGCCGGCTCGAGATCGAAGGAACATGCATCGTGAACCAAGTGTCCCCAGTGCTTTCTGGCCTGCCGGTATTGATGGCGGAGCGGAAATTTTTCAGCTCATTGCCAGCAACTTTGTCTTTCTTCTTTTCTGATTCTCAGATATGTAGACAACCGGCTTTTGTTAGGGCCAACCGCCGCACTCGAATCAGAAGAGGCACGAGCATTCTGCGACAATTTTTAGGAAGGGATCCTGCTCGAAACAGTATCTGATCATCAGTGGCTGGGTTTTACCATTGATGCTAAAGCCGGACGGCGAGAAGCCATGGCACATTCGTTCACCAGCCGCAGCCTCCGGATACTCTTGAAGAGCTTCACTGATTCGCCAATATGCCTCCTGAACAATTCCAGGACAGATTCCAAAGCTCAAGCATCTTTATGTACAGGCAGGATGGGCTGAAAGTCTTGCAATGACGCCAACAAATGCTTGCTTCCTTGTGTCGGCTTGGTTGTTGATTTGTGTTGCCAGCCCAGTTTTGTTATGGTGATTGGCTGCTCTTATCAGGTCGGCTATCGAACTAGTTTTTGGAACAGGTAGCTGAACCCAGGCATCATTGTTGAGCCATGGCCCAGCAGTATCATTTTCATTTCTATGGCGGAGCGCCAACACCTGGCGGCACCCCAGCCGCCGGTGACCAGCATTTCGTCTACGAATCAGGTGGCGCCCAACAGATCTGAGTCGGTGCACCCCCCTCCTCGTGCTCCACTTCCCCTTCGAAAATCGGACGCCAAGTCGGCCTGGCAGAGCTGCGTCGGAACATACTGATCAAGCTCCTGTAAGAGCACTGCAGCGTGAGCACGATCGAGTGCGAAGTTGGTCAAGACGCCGAATGCGTCGCCATCATCGGCATGAAGACGATCGACCACCAGTCGCTCGACCTTTGTCGGCTCCTGCAGACCTTCGTCCTGCGCACGCTTTCGCTTCGCCAGTTCGAGCATTTACCACCTCGGCCAAGCCCGAGCATGAGGCCTACTGTACAGTCTCACATGGCCACAACGGCCCAGGATGCAAGCCCGGAAAGACCCACGGGTCAATGGCAACCGCCCAGTTTTGCACTCGGGGCCACATGCAGCGGATTGCCCGTTGGCGCGAGCTGCACAAATGTTTAAGAACCCGGTTCAAGGGCCAAGCAGCAAAGAGCCATCAGCTCCTTCGAAGTCTGAGGCTGTTGATCTTCAAGAGATCACAGCGCCCAAGGCACCACCCAAGAACCCGGGTCCCAAGCCGGCCATTTCCAACATAGCCACTATTTCTGTTGATGATGAACAGCTTTTTCAAGCGACGCAGCGCAGCAGTCTGGAACAGCTGCAGGAACATATAACAGAGCGAGCCTTTGCAATGCTGTGGATTTCTACGAGGAGGGCATGCCCCCTCTATTGTCGTATATGTTCTTAGTGTTGCATTATCGTGAGAATTTCTTGACGAATGAAAAGCTAGCTGCCACTGCCACCCTCCCGAATCCTCAATACTGCGGTTCAAGAGGTAATACGTTTCTTCCTTACCAGGTTTGGTGCAGCCGAACGTCCTTTTCTTCCGGTTATCCCAACCGGACAGAAAGCTTGTGACTTTGGCCATGGCCATATTGGCAAGCCGCATACCGTCCAAACACATCTGTCCGCATGATGCCAAAGCCTTTGCGGTCCCGCAAGAGGGCATGCATATCTCGGAGTTCCCGGTCGCCCATTTTCCGGGCCCCACACAACACCCCCACTGCTACTACTGTTGGGGGCATGGCACCACCCCTGAGGGGCTCTAGTCGGGATCCTGACAATAGGCAGAGTGCTTCGCTCCAGTGCAGAAGCCGTGCAAGTTGCCCATCATGATGATGTGTTCTCCTTGTTTGGCAAAGCCACGCAGGATGTACACTATGAGCCGTCCAAGCTGGACTTCATTTCCAAACTCCATCACAGCACAAAATTAGTGCGGGAGTTGTTCTGGGCGGGTTCATGCGAAATCCCCGCCACACAAGCAATTCCTCCAGCACGGTCCATGAGGGGCCATCTTTGTAAATTTTACGGGTTGGTCCATTCGCCATTCGTTTCGGGCGACAGACGGTGGGCTATCCGAGAAGCGGCGGGTCGTATCGGCCGCATTCGGGTACTTTCAAGCACCCACAGTGCCCAGCTTCCTAGGGCGACCCTAACGACCCAAACAAAGTACGAGCCGTCATCTTTGACATTGGTGATGGCAATGATTGGGGAGTTAGTTGGCCAGGACTCGCGGAGGAAGTTCGCGAGCCTAGATCATTTGCTGCTGAAGAAGTTAAGCGGGAGCCTCGATCATTCTGAATGGTGCTGCATGGAGCAGCGGGCCCGCGGGCCCGGCGGTGTATATGCGCACGAGCCAGTCGGGGTGCTTAAGCCTTTCGGGGGTCCCAGCATGAAAGGAACCTACAGCCGTGTCTCAGATCCGTTAATCCTCATCGCACCGATGTAAAGACCGGTGTGCGACCTAGTGCGGGGGGGGCAAGCAGGTGCTGCTTTCTGTTGTCGGTGCTGAAAAAGAAGATAGACAGGAGTGATAGGAGAGCGAGAAATTTTCAGAAGGCAAAAATGTGAGAACAATGCAGATTGTGCTGCCGCGTTTTGCCCCTGGCCTGGGGAGCGAAAGACAGACAGCGAGTGCGAGCTCCCGGCAGATGGCTGCAGGATGCCGCATCGTTGCGCACCGATTTCGACTTCTTCGAGCTTGCCGCAGACCGGACCACTGAGTACCACAAAGATGTTGAGATACCTCCATCTTTGCAAGAGGACCCGCAGATCCTTGATTTTGCTGGCTTTGCTTCTGTAAGCCTTAGACCCAGGAGCCTCGGAATATGAAATCATCCGTGAGGCCCTATCTGAGACAGGCGGCTGAGCTGAGGGGCATGTTGCGTGTTCGCCATTCTTCGCCTCTCAATGCAGTCTGAGGCGGTCTCGCGAGCCTTGGACAAGGCAGATGACATCCGCTCTGCGAAGCCCGCAGCTCCAGCATCTTCGAGCGTTTTCACACAGGCTGGACAACTTGGGCAACTTGGGGTTCACAGCGTGATTTGAAGGAAATAAAGCGAGACTCAATCTTCAAAGGATTTGCTACAACCAAGCTTCCTTGGCACAGGTTTGGACGGATGATGAAGTGCCAAAGCTGCGCATACTATGCAGCCCTCCATCCCTTGAAGCAGGTGCCGCGATGCTCAAGCGCCTTCTACTCGCGCGTTTTCTTCTCTTCTAGGTTCTTCTATTTTCCCAACGAGCCGAAGCCTCACGGATGACTGCGTGGCACCGAGTGGTGGGCTCGTCCTTCACGTGATCTGGGAAGGCGACTGCGCATTGCTTTGCATCTGCCCAGTTGAAGTCCGCGACCGGCAGGCAAGAAGACGATTCTATGGGCACCTGAAGAGAGCATCCCCCTCCTCAACCAAAAGAAGCGAGAGGCGGAAAACATCGGAGCTTGAATCGTTTTCTGTCCTCTCGCTCTTCCACTCCCTTTCACTCCCAGGCCAGCGAGGACAAAGGGCAGGTCAAGCTTGGGAGGCCGCCGTGATGCCGTGAAGCAACGCGTGCACCAAGCACCACGTGCACACACTGCAGTTCATCAGGCAACTTCATGTTAAAGCATTTCCACACAGGCTGCCCTCTGTGATGCGAGATGCCTCCCAGAATTTGCTGTTTCCACCGTCGTGCAACAAAGAGTGTTATTCTGAAGTTCCAAGCCGATGTTTCTTGCAGCTTCGTCTTGGCAAAGTCAATGAATCAGATATCATCAAGCTCTTAAGATGCTGGAGGTTTTGAGGGTACGGGCTATAGCTTCGAGAAGGTTATTCAGTTATTTCAGGGTGTCAAATATAGCAACGATCCGAAGACTGCGTGCCATGCTATCAGTGCAGTTGTGCGAGAGTAGGCCACTTGACAGGCCGCTTCTGTTCAAACGAACAGCTCAGACAGCTGCTCCACAACCAGACGAACATGCAAGCCAAGGTGATGCCTTCGAGTCTTTGTTGCAACTAGCGGCAGCTCATTGTGGAGTGACATTCGTCAGTTTTTTGCAGCATCACTGGAAGGTTCACCGCTGCAAAGATCGGGTGTGGCACTTAGAGTCGTTGGCCATGGGCGTTTTGTTGGTCCTTCTCGGTGTTCTCCGAAGGTGTACTACTCCAGAGACATGTCGACTCTGGATATTGATACAGATGATTCATGGGAGTGTTGGAGACCTAGTTGGACTAAGCAAGGTTCCTCTGACTGCCCGTGCCTGCGCATTCCTTCGAGATGTCCCCCAGGTGCCATCAAGCCGGGTGAAGTTTTTTTGGCTCCCAGCAAGTACTTTGCTGAAGGGCTTTGGTGGGACGCTGCAGAGGATGACGGAGCATCCGGGCAACAATTTGGGCAGCCCCATTCATACAGTGATACAGCGCTGTGGCAAACAAGGTTCGTGCTACCTGAACAGGTGTACTTACACTCGAGGGCCGTCCCCCCGAATCATGCAGTCATACCGGAGCTGCCCACGACGAAGATTGGTTCAGACTGGATGATAGCAACCGGTCCGCAGTAGAGAGTTTTGTTCCCACAGTCGCTGAGGGGCTTCGCTGATGAAAGGCTCTTGAAGACAGCCGCTCTCTTAGGTCTGCTCGCCCCCCCAAACCTGGAGTGCCCAACCCCAGAGAATCCCGGAGTGCCCAACTTCACAGTATCCCTTTACCCAGAAGAATCATGTCAGAATTTATGCAGTGCCCAACCCCAGCTGAGAATTGCTGTCGTGCCCTCACACGCTCGCCCAGAGGGTAGTGTAGTGTAGTAGAGACTAGTATGTTATACATACTTGACAAGTGCTACTTTTCGTTCAGTCAGACATACTATATTGAAACAGTTAAGCTTGCTTTCAACATTGGGATAGAAGGCCACTGGCAGTATGCCATCCCAGTGTCCTTGCCGCGCTCAGCGATCCACTTCCCCAACGGCCTAAACACCACAAGCCGGAAGCAACATAGTGCTTAACCCGAACTGGCAAGTCTGAGCAGCAATGCCCTCAATGGTCTTCCCTGCTATGACCACCCTCGGTAAGGGTAAATAAAGATCACAGGGAAAAGGGGGTGGGACGGCCCACAAATTCATGATCTGTAGGGTGGGGGTGTTCGAAGTACTATACGAGTTGATGTTTTACAGTTAGTCGGCCACGGCCGATCACTGAGGCAGAAATTCTAGATGATCCACGTGCCGCTGATTCAGTGCGAGTTTTACTGCGCCGTTTCCCAAGAGATCCGGAGCGACCGGTGGGCGGCTGGAAAACATGGAACCTCGCAGATCTTGCCTTGCCCAGGTCGTACAAAATCGGTCAGGCTGCCACCGGCTCGTTGCCCTGCACCGTCTGAGTCCCACACTATGGCTTTCTGGACTCCCCGTCGTGGCAATGGCCACCTGTCGGCACACGGGGAACAACACGTGAGTCAACAGGGGTTTGTACCAAATCGGCTCAGTCAACCTACGTAAGACAAGTTAGCGGGATCCAGCAATTTCTACTTCTGTAGGTACTGTAGCAATTGAATGCCTCAGGCACGCTAGCTTCTTGCAATTTACAGCGATATTTGCGATCTCCCGCATGCCAGCAAACTTGCTCGAAACTGTCATCGGGGGATGCACGGAGGCACAGGGCGTTGGCAAAGGACTTTGGCTGGGGTAACCTCTTGTGCAGGACAGGCAAGAGCATCACCTTGTATACAGCTAAGGCAAGAAATCATAAAATCAGTTTGACATTTGTTATGTGGGACTGCAGGCTTTATTTATGTTTGCAAGAATTTGTGATGTCCTGCATTTTGACCTCTGTTCGGCCGGCAATTAGTCTTCAGCAGAATGCCCCCATTGCAGTGGTGATTGGATCCGTGGCGAGGTGTTGTGGAGTCGGTCGGGCCCGTGGTGTTAGCCCACGAGGTCACTGCAAGTGTCGGCAGGCATTACCAAGACGCGTGCCGCATTTGCAATTGCTTAGCATTTGCATTTGCAGCCAGTTTCTCCGTGCAGAAACTCAGGCATTGCACTAGCGTTGTCCCGACACGACCTGCCGCACCTTGGCAGAGGTCAAGGCATGAGGCTGGGTTGACTGCCATCGCGGTGACTGCTCAGGACGGGACCAGTGTCCTTCCAAGGGCCTTCTTGAACGGAACATCACTGGATGTTGCCAGTGCCACCAGCTTGCATAATTCCTCTGACTGCTTCTTTCTGTGTGAGTGAGTGCCAGCACACGAGGAATGGGGTCCAAGCAGTCTCTGCGTGGTGCAACATTCTCCTCTGGGGACTCCAAGAGCTGCTGTGGCCAACAGTTCTTGGCAAGAAGCCATGCCAAGAAGCTCTTCTTCATCGGACATGTCGTAAGCAGTCTTGACTGGATGATATCCACAAGTCAGCTTTCGGAAGCTCCTGACACTAAGGATATATTTCTTGTGATGAGTCGGAACAGCTCATCGCGCGTCGGACCTTGCCATCGAAAGCCAGCGGAACTTGGTGCAGCATGCAGAGGTAGAAACATTCATGTCGTTGGCAAAGTAGCAACCCCAATGACCTCTCGACGTTCCTTTCTTCGGCAATGCAGACTGAGTTGCTCTCACCTAGGAATCGTCTGCAGAGCGGAGGAAGGAACTCGGAGGTCCTGTGAACACCAGCATTTCGCGGCGTGGCAGGGGCTTTGTCGAGGCTTACTGCTGTGGTCCTCAACGACCAGGATTTGCTGAGAGTTCCATGCTGCTCGCCTGAACAATCACGAACCCAGACAAGAACTCGTGCCAGCTTGTGTGCCGTGCAGGCCACGCACAGCCGTCAGTCCGCTTGGGAGATTTGGTTCGGCAGCACGATCGGCTGAGCTCGAAGGATGTGTCTCCTGCAGCAGGCCAGGTGCCTTGGCTTCATGTAAATCGAGTCTGAAGCAGTTGCAGGGGTTTCTTACGTCTCGGTGATAAGGCTTCCCTCAGGCCCTAGCGTCTTGTCAGCTTGCATAACTGGAGCCCCGGAACCTGAAAACGACGTCTTACTGGCTTTATGGTTTTAAACAACGACAGCTTCGAGGATCTCTTTGCCGACAAGGAGGGGGAGACCACTTTTGCCAACTAAATCTTTCCCTGTCAATGACCCTCTCTTGCAAAGCGCTTTAGCCTGGCCTGTAAGGTCGTGTCTGTGCAGACTGCCAGCGCCGCTTGGCGGGAGTCGGGAAGACTCGGAAGACCTTGTGAGGAAGTAGCGATTGCGAAGCTTCGTTTTCGGAAGTTCTGCTTTTGTTCTGGATCAGGATGGAGGTGCCGTTGCCGTCGTCTACTTGCGCAAGGCCAGTTCTTACCTCGTCACCAACAAGGGCTCCGTCCTTGTATCGCTGCTGAATCAAAGAGGGTCCCGAATTTCTATGTTGCTTTGATAGCAGCCTGGGCGGTGATAGCCTGGACCGGCTCGGATGGCTCAGGTACGTGATGGAAACGTTGTCCAAATGGGAGACTGCTTGGCAACAGAGCCCCTGGCTGTGCCGCGGACATCAGATATTGTTCAAGGCCTTCCTCGTATCGACAGGCTCTTCGAGGTCAGCAACGCAGAGTCCGGTGGATGCAGACTCGACAGACTCCTTTCTGGCTTCTCAGGCTGCGAACGGGCAACTACAAGCCCGGTTGGACAGGATCTTCGAAGAGGCGATTGAGGGGAGCGCCCGTGGCTGATGCGCTGCCTTCCGATGCTGTTATGCGTTCCGGCGAGCAGGAGGCAGCCCAACGTAGCAGCTTGGATGCTGCATATGCAGCTCGCCGAAGGCCGTCAGAGGTGTCGGTTCATACCATAGTTCAAAGCCGACAAGCCAGACATCGACAGGTTCGAACAGGAGCTCTTGGCAGAAATTCAGTCCGCTTATGGCGTACAGGGCGCAGCTGGGACTTGAATCCACTTTCTTCTCTTCATGTGCCGGCGATCGTGCCGAGTGCTTTGGTGCACTGAGTCCAGGTAGACATCAGCAGCAAGCACATTGAGGCCGGGCCAAGTTCTCATCTCGCTGTCACTGCTCCTTTAGGCTTAAGGTGTGGGTGCACACAGAGCCGCTGATTATCAACGTGTCGACAAAGCTGCCTGAGGTTTCGATGACAATCATGTAAAACAATAACTGTCACATCCTTCCCAAAAGTCCTACTAAAGGTGTGCGGAGCAATCCAGACAATCCAACCAACGATCACCAACACGCCGTTCATTTAAGTCACACCCCAATTCATTTGGGACCTATGACAGGAACTCCTATCCAGGTATCCACACCGATTGCATCCGATCGCCACTCTGCTCCATGTACACCACGGACATCCGCCATGTTCAACGTGATGTTTTGCCCCCCCGCTCAACAGAACAACACCATGTCTCACCTCACAGCTCGACAGAACTCGGCACTCCAATTGGGACCTTCGTGAAAGTGCCAGATCACCATCGATCTTTGCGACGCGCTTTTGAGGGCATCCATTGCCACGGCTTTCAAAAACAGCGCCACCAAACAAGCTCTGGAGCTTGTAGAAGCTTCCACCGGAATCGCCTGCTGCTCCGCCAAGCCCAGACCCAAGCCGCCGCCAACCCCCGGGCCCCGGGGCTGTATCCTTGTCTGCCAAGCCGGGGTGCGATGCAACCACCAAGATCGTCAAACGAAGCCATGCCAAAGTCGGGCGAACCGCGCCAACCAGCAAAACGCAGACCCCATTGCCTATCCACACAACGACCCGTGTTGCCCCTATCGTCCTGAAAAACTTCCCAAGCATCGTCTTCGCCACCGAGAGCCGAATGGACAACCCGACGATACCAGCGGATGACCAACAGCGGGATTCGGCAATCCAGCAACCCTGCTCTGCACAAGAACCAAAACAGCTGTGTAAAGCCGCGACCTGCCGCAGGTGGTCGTGCGGAGAATGACAGCTACATGGCTGCAGGTTCAAAATTTGTGTTGGATGGAACCACAACATGCTTGCTCTCGACACATCATCAAGCAATAGCTTTTGATGTGCTGTCAGCTATCACTTGCCTGACCCATTTGGTCTTGGTCGGGGTAGCACAATGTAGCACAGCAGTATTTCGTTGCAGCATGTTACATGTTTGCAAGCATTCAACGTCGAATAGCTGTGTATGGTGACATGTCGGGCAGGAAGGGACTGCAGATTTCAAGGGCAAGTCACACCGGATTCGCTGGGTGCGTTGCTGTTGTGCAACGAGAGGTAGAGCAGGCTGCACCAGCGAAAACGATGCTTTTTCCAAGGAGAAGTGCACGATTGAAGAAGGAATCAGCGGACTCCCGCCTGGCACACTGATGAACTATGTTGAATTGGAAGGGCTATGTGCGCTGCAACCGAGTGCAGAGGCTCTTTGTCTACACTTCTCAACACCGGTTTCTTCCAAGCTGCTTTGCGGAGTGTTCAGCCTTCTGACGCACCGCTGCGACCTTGCAGGTGAAAGTGAAGCCCACCGTTCGTGGGCTCACGGAGATTGGCAGAGATGGTAGTCACGTCTTGGTGGCCATGGGCTTCCGAGAAGTGGATAATGTTGTGGCGAACGCGGTCTTCCAGGGTGCAGGCCAAAAAGCACAGAAGTAGAAGTGAACAGAAGGGTAGCAAAAGGGCGCGGCTGCGTTTTTGACTCGAGTTGAAGGCCGCTACGGCTTCGAGGGAGTCAAGGAGAATCTCATGATCGGGAAGGCCGTCAGCGTTGGACGTGCCTTTGCTGCGCCCAGAAACTCACGGTGCACGAAGTGTCGTCTACCCATCCGGGAAACTTGAGGAAAGACGGCTTCTTCATCTCATTCGGCAAATCGTGAGATCGACCTTGATCGAATTCCGGTATGGGCCGAATAGGCATCATGCAGATGAACTGGCTCGCAAAGCGGTCATATGTACAGTGCGACAGTGTGTGACGGCGCGCTGCCTGACACGCGAAAAAAGCGGAACACGGCATCATCAGCGCTGGGCCCCGGCCTCGTGTCGTCGCGACGAAGGTCTAAGTCTACACCGCTCGAGGAGCTTTGTAGCTTCGCAAGCGGCTGCGGGGCCACGCTGTGATGTGCCAGGACGTCTCGCCGGAATCGCTGGCAAGGAGAATCGATGGCATGAAGGCCGCCATTCGGAATCTTGATGGTGCAAGCGTTTCTGATGGTCACAGTGACTGTGCTGATTGACGGCTGGAGTCCTCAGCTCATCTACTTGTACGGGGTCATTTTGAGGCTAGGACTGCGGGCGCCGCGAGCTTTCAGACGACTGTTGTGCAAGTGCAGTCGAAGTGCAGTAAGCGCGGAGTACCTGCCGTTACTCCAGGGCCCAGAGCTGCCTCTGAAAAGTCCGTGAGCCCGGCGTTTTCGCCCTTGAAAGCCTCGAAGCTCAAGCGAGCTCAAGCGAGTTATTCACTTGGTCTCGCCCAGCTCGGCAGCAAGAACCGTTGAAGACTTCACTCAGGAAACGCCTGCGGCAGGGCACGTAAAACCAGTTTACTGGCTCGTCAGACGTGACTCTTGACATCTCGTCACTGTCTGCTCCGCTGCTCCTGGATTCGGTTCCCTCTCTGTGGCTTGCTCGTTTGTCGTTCTTGTGACTGCCGCGTGCAGCAGGCTCAGATGGAGGCAGGACGAGAGGCGCGCCCTTGAGCCAGGTTTGCGAAACGAGGATGCCATTGAATCGATGCTTTCATGCTCGCAGGCCACGCGAAAACAACTCGATGCTTTGCAGCAGCAGCAGGACTGATGCTTGTTGATTTCCGCCTCCGGTGCCGATTCTATTCAACTGTCGGAACCACCAGATGTTGTTGCGCGAAGGGCCTCCCAACCCCTGCTTCCATGCTTAACTAACTTGGAATTGGGGCTGGAGCTAAGCCAGTCGTGAATCGAACTCCCACTGTGCTTCGTGAAGAGCTCCGGGATTGCAGATCACCAGGCATCATTACAGAGTCAGCTTGTCAAGTCAACAACCTGTACCGGTTGCACAACACACACACAGTGTGTGTGTGTGTGTGTGTGTGTGTCTCTGTGTGTCTGTTCGTGTCTGTGTGTCTGTGTGTCTGTGTGTGTTTTGTGCTGTCTGGATGCCTTGGAGGAGAGCCTGGAGAAGATTTCAAGCCGGTCGCTCAACGGCTCAGCATGTGTGACTATCAATCATCATGAATCGGCGGGGATGATTGTGCCGAAAGGCGCGGACGACTTTGTGAATTTCATGACGAAGGCTGGATTTTGCTTGCGTTTCTTGATTGAGACTCTGCATCGCTTTGTACAGGAAGGCGTGTCCCACGAAGATCTGCAGAGGCTGCCGCTCTTGATGTGTTTGCGGCATGCGGACGACGTAGTGAGATTTGTTTTCATCTGTTTTCCCTTCTGTTGGCTCGGCACATCGAGTTTGCTTCGTCTTGGCTCAAAGCCTCACATGACTCCGGGTAGCTCCAGCTTCACACAACAAGCCCACTGGTTTTGCATGGTTGTGTCCATCTTGGTTGAGCAACCATCGCAATGGTCGAGGCATCTCGTGTAAAAGTATATGTTTTTCGCCGTGTTTTCTAAACGAAGACCCCTTCTCCTGGAATTCGGCATCATGCGGTGTTACTTCAGCCGTGGGCTTAAGCAACATGCTAGGGATATATCGCCCCAGAGCATCCATGTTTCAACCATGATGACGTCCGTGGTACCAGAGCACTCGTTCGTTGCAGAGCATCCATGGGCCAACCATGATGAAGGCAGAAGTGATGACTTTGCAATACCAAAGCCTCTGACCTAAGAGCTGTGCTTTCCGGTCGGTTCCTTATGGCTCCACCAGGATTCAAAATGTGCTCCAATTCCGGTCAGCCCTCCCGTCGCTGCTTCCCTCCTTCTGCAAAGATGTCATCTTGCAAGTCACACTACCCCCAAACCGCACAGAAGATACACGGAAGCAGGTGTGAAGTGTGCCGGTGGGTGGTGGCCATCCATGTGGAACAACGCGTGCTTGCGTTCCCTCGCCTCCGTTGGAAAGCACGATGGCCCACTGCTATGCTTCCCATGCTTCCCACATTGGATTTCTAGGAGCTTGTTCGTGGTAGTGCACCAAGCACTTCACGGGTGTACAGAGAGCACGTCGCTGTTTTGCAACCAGCAGGATGCTGACAGGGGACCCCACGGACATGGAGGAGCCATGGTTTTGCATAGCGTTGAGGTTCATGTGGCCTTGCATCGGCGCAAGCAGCTTGCCAGGACCTGGTTGCAAAGATGTTGAACAAAGCTGCAGCTCCAGGCAGCTGGCAAGGGGACAAACTGCAGAAGCGTGCGCTTCCAGGTTGGCATGATGGCTCGAGTATGAAAGGCTTAAACTTCAACGGTTAATGCCACGTGCTGCTTGCATTGCATGTGCGTGATAGTTTAGAACCCGATGGCCTTCGGAACTACGTGACTACGTACCCTTCATGTACAGACAGTGGACTGCTCCAACTCGTTCTCTGCAATTCTCAGTCCGGCGAAGATTGGCCAGTGAATGCCATGGCCTTTGTGTTTCCAGACAACGCAAGTGCGGCCTTCGTTCTTCATTCTGTCCAGAAGACGAGAGTCCTCAGACTGGATACAGCATCTTGACCTTACTGGTCCGTGCAGCGTCCTGCCAGAACGATTTCTGCACTGAGGCATGCTGACTCAGCGTCCAGCACCTTGCGAAGATTGCTTGAGATTTCACCAAGACGCAGGCGAAAGACGACCCGCTTTCAGACATAATCGGTGCATCGGCATCAACACGAATGGGTTCTTTCGAGCCGCAGACTTTCTCCAACCTGGTGCAGACTTTTGGGAAGCTGAGATTGCGACACGCAGCTTTGTTTGGTGCTGTCCGAGCCGGATCCGCACAACGCTTACATGAGCTTTTCCCGCAGCACCTTACAAATGCTCTGCAAGCCTCTGCACGCCCGGCCCACTACAGCTTGCTGCCCATCAGGTAGACTCTTGGTGAGTCGCGAGACAAAGTGGAACAGCTCGGTTCGCAGCACGTGGCAAACGCTTTTCGAGCTTCGAGGATATTGAAGGTCTTCGGAACTCCGCTTCTTGAAGCGCTTGGGCGCCGTTCTTTGAAATCCGCCGTGGCCTTGACTTGGTAACCGCAGCACATCGCCAATTTGAGTTGAACGATGGCAACGCTGCGCTGGCAGCATGAGTCGTCGGAAACAGTCTTAGCATCGAAGGCTGAGAGTTTGGCAGGCAAATCTTCACCCCAGGGGCTGGCCAACAGTTTGCGGAGGCCAACCAAGCCGCAGCAGCAGCAGTTCACCCGCCTTCTGCATATCATCAGCCCTGTGGTAGGTAGTAAGCTGGCCCAGCTTGATGCGCAGGCAACCTCTAGCACATTGTAAGCCATTACGAAGACGAAGCTCCTCGACTGACCTCTCTTGGCTTTGCTGGCGATCGAAACGACACATAAGGTACGTTGGTTGCAATCTCAAGATGCCTCGACTATCGCTTGATCTTTCGCAAAGTCGGGGGCTCTTCGCCTGGCAGTGTTCAAAACACTTGCGGATGCAGCCGGCTCAAATCTTGCGCAGTTCGAGCCGCAAGCTCCATCCAACCTGGTGTGGAAGCACGCTACTCTGAGTATTCCCGATGTGCCCTTGCTGAGTGCCATCATGGCAGAAGGCAAGCTGAAGATCACGCAGCTGGAGCTTGACGCACAAAACCTTTCCAACAGCGTCCAAGACTTGGCGACTCCAGCTGCCAAGGAAGAGACTCCGCTTCACTCGACAGGTGGTCATGCCTCGTCTCTGATTCTGCGACAGAAACCCAACACGTAGAACTCAGCCAACACGATTTGAAAGCTTGCTACGCCGCAGCTTCTGCATGAGGCATTTGCAAAGGCCAGTGTGCTGGCAGCTGTCTCCCAAATGCGACAGTTCATTCCGCAGGAACTTACCAACGTGGCACAAACACGTGCAACATTGGAAGTCGCAGGGGAGATCTCAATGCACAGCACCGCCCAAGAGTGTCCGGTGCGCATCACCGAGTCCAAGTCCTTCAATCCTGCGATCCTGGTTTGGTGGCCTACAAAAGTCTTGGTGCGAAAAGAACTGGCGCTGGAGGCCGTATCACGTATGTCCCAGGAGAGAGTCCTGGAGCTTGGGTCACAGGAATCATCCAATGCTGTTTGAAGTCATGCCACTCTCAGCATCAAGGATCAGCCGTTGTTCGATGTGATCGCACATGCCGCCACTGTTACGCACCAGGTCTTCGTACCTCAGCATATTGCAAACATCGTGTGGGGTTTCGGTGAAATTTTCTTGTGGCACAGCCTCATGACGAACGTGCTGCGGACAAGTGCGAGGACAACTGGCCTGCGATTTGGTGATATGCATGCAATCTTTTGGTCCTTGGCACATGGCTTGATGTGGCCGAGACTGCGTGAAGCATTCGAGAGCTGCGTCGCCTAGCATCCGACTTCTTTAGACGTGCTTGATGTAGGAGTTATGCTCTCCCCCTGCGAAGCTTTTCACGATGCCGCTTACGAGCGCCGGATATGGCAGCTGATTGCTTCCGTCACACCTCTGCGGCGAGACATGCAAGAGATTGTGTCAGGGACTACCGGCTACCCGTTCAATGCGAATGCGTTTATAGACAGACACAGGGTTGCTGCAGATTTTTGTGGTGCGCAAGTGGCAAGGCATGGAGGCCACGCGCAACACAAGCTGTCGATGTTGGTGCAGTATGTCGAATATGTCCATACGCGGGTAGCTGGTGGCACTGCGAGCCAGGATGTGCTGAATGCAATCGTAGAGTTTTCGAAGCAGAAGTTGAACTATTGGCTCAAGGTGGCAGGGGAAGCAAAAGGCACGCTGATCGATGGCATTCTGGCCCTCGCTACAGCGCCAGGCCATCAGATTAGACTTGAGTTTGGTGCCTTCGTTGGCTTCTCAACCCTTCGGCTGGCTAGTGCTGCTGCGGCTGGAATGCCCTCATGGCGTGTGCAGAGCTTGGAGGTGGATCCGCTGCACGTCTGCATCTCGCGGCACATGCTGAACCTGGGCGAACACGCTCAGGCGGAGGTTTGCAGTGGACAGGTGAAGGATCTTCTGCCGAGGATGCTGGAAGACTTTGGCACCGGCTCTGCGGGACTGGTCTTCATGGATCACAGGGGGACTCGCTTTCATTCCGAGTTTCGCATCCTGGAATCCTCCAGGCTTTTCAGCCCAAGCGCAGATATTTTGTGCGACAATGTGCTGCACCCTGGGGCGCCCCTGTACCTGTGGCAAGAATCTCAGCCCTGGCTGCGCAGGTTACGCAGGTTGTGCATCTGGTCCCTTCCGGAGTTTGGCGGTGAGAGTCACATAGAAGACTGGATGGCCCACGAGAAGTATGAGCCGTTTCACAACAAGTCGAAACACTCTGCGACCATTCACGTGGTTTCGAGACAGTTGCACCGGAAGCATGCCATGTTGCTCGCGAGTCGCGACTTGACAGGTGAAGATGCAGCAGCGCCAGATTCTCGGCACAGCAGAAAGCGTATGGCAACCTAAAGGAGTTGGGGACACGAGCATGTCCATGTCTGGGCAGGCACATGGCAGACTGCTGGAGTTTGAAACAACCTTCTGTCAGTAGAACGACACATCAAGGTGTCTGATTATCAGGTCTAAAGAATCAGCCATCCGCTCCAGACTCTACTTTAGCTGTTAGCTGCCATTCAGGACTTCAGAGACGAACAAACTAAGGAAGCCAACTGGCAAGGATTTGGGTAGGCATGTGCTTTCAGTCAACTTGCAACTGGAACTGCAAGTTGCAACATCCATCAACTCTGATTGTCGCGTGCGGCGCGGGTGGGAGGGCGATGGAGGGCGCGAAACAGCGCTTGGTCACTGGCCTGAAATGCAAAACGCTGTTCGGATGCCTGCAGCCTGCATAGTAGCACAGATCGAAAGGGCATGCAGAGTTGTGGCTTCAGTGTGTCACTGACAGCATCCTATGCACACCACACGTTATGGTCCAATCTAATCCAAGACGAAATCCGCTCACCTCGCATCATTCGCACTGTACGGCAAGTGAACAAGGACATCCCACGAACCTGCTCTACGTAACGCTATGTACACGCTTGACCCGTTTTACGGAGGAGCACAGCCGTGGCACAGTGTTTCTCCTGTGGAGTGTGCTCTTGAGGAAGGTCGCCGCTGAGCCGCTTGTGGCCGGGGTGAGTACTGTATTTACGTGCCGTCGCAAAGTGAGTGCTTGAACGGCTTTCTCAACCCTGTCCGAGGTGCCAGTTGTTTGCTTCAGCACAGACTGATTTCCAAGGCTAGCCGGAGCAGAACAAGCCATCAAAAGTGCGGAGGAACTTCACACTCGTGGCGCTTGCTTGGTTTCGCAGTTCTGCTTGGCTTCCCCTGGAACACAAGTTGACCTCTCCAAGTTGGGCAGGCATTTGTGGCGATGATACAGCAGGCAGTGAGAAGAAGGCTCGAAGTTCTTGTACCCCTCGTTCTGTTCACCGAGCTTTTGTCGAATTTGTCGATCCGTCCATGGGACAAGGTATGTAGCAAGGGAACGATTGGCAGATTCCGGAGTTCTTGCTTGCAGTGTCCTCGTGGCTCAGGATCAGAAGTCTCCCAGTGAAGTCAGACAAAATCTTGCTTTTGACGCTTGTGATACTTGTCGCCTCTGGTCCCTTGACGAACTCAGAACATCTGGAAACTCGTGGTCTGATGTGCGCAACAGCAAGAAAACTGCCAAGCAGTGTTTAACATGCAGTCCGATACGATTTGCTCGTGCTAGACTTGGGAATCGGTTGCCAGAAAACTTCCAAGCGGCGTTTAACAGGCAGTCCGAAACGATTTGCTCGCCCTCGACTTGGGAATCTGTTTGTTGCACGCTGCGCCCAGAAAATCAGGTGGGCTCCGTGCCGAAGAAGTTGGTCCCAGACTCTCCACAGGCCGCTCGGACTCGTCGGAGGGGGCTTCAAAGACCAGAGATTGATCGAGCTTGAGGTGATCCTTCCCACGCATCGGCTGCAATATGAGAAAGACCCTGAAGGCAGATACCAGGCCCTTGCCTTGGTCGGCAGACAGACGCGGATGCACGGATTTCTCTGTGTTTCGCGCAGCTCTGAGGGTATGGAGCTTGTCTGCGAGCTGCCGGGTGTCAGCGACATGGGTTGCATTGCAGCTTGGACACGATGGCATTGGATCTACTCGCCAATGCTCTCCGTGCGCTGCGATGGTCTGCGGACAAAAAAGGTCTTGGACATTGCGGAGAAGCACTTGCGGCTGAACACCGTGGCTCGACCCTCGGGCAACCAAGAGTGCATGCGCACACCCTTTGCTTGCCAGTCAGGACCCTGCGCCCAAGTATGCCATCAATGCAGGGCCTTTTCCGGTGCGGAGCACAGCTTCAGATACCGGCCAGAGCAGGCAAGCAAGTTGACAGCCGGAGGTTCTCATTGAGCCCTCTGGTGCCAAAGCGAAGCCGCAGCCTCAGCTCACGGACGTTTCCAGAACTGTCGGAGCCAGAAAAACAAGGGAGACCTACAGAGCAGTACAGAGAGCACCTCTTTCCACGGGGGAGGGAGCGGGGGGGGAGTGTGGGTCGTCCCGCCTCGGGTCGTCGCGCCGCCATGCGCTCCGGCCTCGGCGGGGTGGGAAACTGCCTCGGCGGAAGCGGCGCAGGCTGCCTCTGCCTCTCCGCTCAGCGATGGTTTCGCGAACGCTTTCGCGGCCTCCAAACGCTCGGACTTGCGCCGCCCAAGAGAAGTTGGATTCACATGAATGCCGCTGGCGCCTCGCCTATGGCGGAAGTGGTGCATGATGCCATCGTGGCTCATCTCGAGCTGGAACGCCAAGTCGGAGGCTACGCAGCCGAAGCCGCGGCGAATGCAAGGCAGGGAGCTCGCAGGGCGGCAGCAGAATTGTTGGGCTGTGATGAAACAGAGATAGCTTTAACAGAGTCTGCACAGGCTGCTTGGGCAAAAGCTTTTTACAGCTTAGATTTCCAAGAGGGTGATCGGATATTTTGTTGGGAGAGTGAATATGCAGGGAATGCAGTCGCATTTCTGCAGGCTGCTAGGCAACACAAACTCGAGCTCGAAATATTGCCAATGCGCACTGATGGCATCGTGGATGTGGCTGCCCTTGACGGAGCACTCAAATCTATGCCTGCGTCTGCACGCTGTGTGGTGGCTTTGACACACATTCAAACAAACTCATCTATCGTACAACCTGCAGCCTCGGTCGGCGAACTTGCGCGCAAGCATGGTGCTGTTTTCCTGCTTGATGCTTGCCAATCTATCGGACAGATACCCGTCAACGTCCGGTCATTGTCGTGTGATTTTGCTTGCGGCACTGGCCGTAAGTGGCTGAGAGGCCCACGTGGCACGGGGTTTCTGTACGCTCGAAGGGCTGCTTTGCCCCAGTCCCTTCCGGGGGGGGGGATTCGGAAGTCTGATCGCGAACTGGTGGGTGAGCCTGCCATGGTCGATCACGTCTCGGTGCGCTGGACACAGCGACACGCATACGAGCTGACATCTAACGCCCAGCGATATGAGATGTGGGAGTCTGCACCTGCACTGCATGTGGGCTTGAAAGAGGCACTTATGCTGTGCAGCCACCTGGGCCCGCAGCAGATTGGGCAAAGAGCAAGTCACTTGGCACGATCTCTACGCCAGAAGCTAGCATGCATCGAGGGCATTCGCTGCTGTGATGCTCCGGAGAGCTTCAACGAGGATGCTGAAAGCCCGGACATAAATCGATGTGGGATTGTAACCTTCCAGGCATTCCCGGACCTCCGAGTTACTTCTGAATTTATAAAGGATGCTCTTGCTGAGCAGCGAATCGCCGTATCAGTGTCGCCATCTTCTCACACTTTCAACGATGCGGATTGGAGTCAGCCTTCCACTGTGAGGATAAGTCCATCTTATTACAACAATGAGTCCGAAGTCGATGCCGTTGCACGCACCATACAGAGCATCATCTCGCACGCCGCCGTGGGAGCTCGTTGATATGGTATCTGGCATCACAACCATGACATGACTGGAGGATGGTGTTCACTTTGTCCTTCCTGGGCAACGTACCTGATCGCAAGGTCCACACGACAAGTGTGCCGCAGCTTGCCGTTCAGGATCTGCGAGAAAAATGAGAAAATGAACACTACGGCCTGGGCCTAGATTGGTTAAGACTGCACCGAGACGAGTGACGTTCCTTTCTTGTGCATCATCTAGATAAAAGAGCGGGCTCCCTCTGTTCGGCCATAACGAGCGTTTCGACCTAAGTTCAACCGCCAGGTTCAGCAAGAAGCGGCATGAGCTGAGCATACGCGTGCCAGCGAAAGCCTAATTAATGCAAGAAGTGCTTCAAGGCTGTGCCGCGCTGCTGCGCTCGGTTTCACTGACATCCTCTGCAAGTGGCCGCATATCAAGGTTTGGGAGGGTCTATCTGCTTGATTGGAGAGGAATGTCTGATGTTTGCATGTCCAAATGAGCCATGCATGGAACGCCGGCTTTGCCTCCTCGACATTCCGTTCAAAGAGAAGTGCATGCAGACGTGCGAGCTATTCAGACACATGTCCACAGCGATCTTGGGTCGCTGTGGAATTCAACTCTGCCCCGCCGTGCCGCCGCAGCATTCGCAGCCCATGCAGCGAGATGCAGCTCTACAGATTTTGCGAATCTCGGCGAGGGTTGAAGTTTCGGGTCTTGCTGATGTCTGCATCAAGCAGTTGCAGACAGGCCGCGGGCCACGTGCGGAAGATGACAGGTTGCAGGGATGCATCAATGGTCAATAGCAATATCAGTGACAAAGACACAGCTAGTCCAAGACTTGCTTGATTTTGCTTGCATGCATCTCCAAAGTGATATTGCTCGCCGTGGATGTTCGGGGACACATGACCGGGTGGAGCACACAGCACAGTTTCGTGTGCCGGCCACGGCTTCACCTGTGTGATACAAGACTTCGGCTTGCCATTCGAAGTCTTCTACCGCTTGCCAGCCCCTGTAACCCACCAAGCTAACAGACATGCATCTGCAAGAACTTGATGGGAAAAGCCACCTGTGACTCCGCAGTGTGCACACGACTGCTTTGACTGCAAGGTTGAAAGTCAGATCTGGTCGGCAACGAACCAGTGCCGTCTTGAAGCAGTCTGCAATCTCAGAACTTTCTCCGCATGCTGCTGCTGCGGACGAGGACCTGGGTTAAGCGGAATGGTCTACATCAGTAGGCTGCAAGTAGGAGCCAACCGTCACTCGGTCGTGTGAAATTTCTGCTTGCATATGCTGTGAAATTTCTGCTTGCATATGCCGTAATGCTGTGACTGGCCTGTCTTGACGATGTCTTTCGGTGCGTGTGTGTTGTGTGCATCTTCCCTGCCCCGCCCAGCTCCCGCAGATCCGAAATGACGCGAGTTGAGACTGCTGAGATGGGCTGCGCGCTTTCTGTCCTGTTGTTGGGAGTCACTGCAACTGTCTCATTGCTGTGCGGGTCTGTAGCCGCAAAGGCAACGGACCAAACAACAGCTTGGGGGGTTTCCTTTGAAAATGTCTTTCTTCCCTCTGCAGGCCAGACTCCCACATGGGCCGGGCTTGGCCATGTATGGTGCGCTAGGCCTCCCCTGCCCGCCCCACCCCGTGGTACAATCCCCCCTATGCTTCCCTTCCATGATTATTGCGGGTTGGGCATGCGGTTGCTTGAGGTTTGGGCCTCAGGATATGATGCAGTTCCACTGAACTCCGACCCGCTCTGAACTCCAAAGCCACTGATGGTCATGATGATTATGGCGATGATGACGAAGATTGTGATCATGATCTCCATGGGCACCTCCGGTCCATCTCCAAGAAAGTCATTCAAACAAGTGCTCAGGCTTACATTTATCCAACCAAACCGAAGCTTGGCACAGAATGACAGCGGTCAATACAAGCTACGACGAAAGAACATCAAGCCAGGCAAGCTTTTCAAAGTAAAAGCAAAGAACATTCGGTACCCGCGACCAGGCTAGCATTAGAGCTGACCGTTTGAGATGTGAGGCCTGGCTTGGCCCTGGTGGACCATGGGGGGGGGGCACTGACACGGCGACGCGGGACCCATGTTTGGAGTCTTTTCCCTTCCGTGCTGTATGCAGGAGGGCATTACAGCACGACTGCAGCCAGCATCCATGTCGACACCAGGAAGCCTTGGCTGCGTTGACCTTTGCGCTGCAAGACGACGACTACGACATCCGGAAATGTGCCTTCACAGCTCTGACCGATTGCTTAACCTCCGTGAATTCCCATCTCCCGGATGCTCGGCAACAGCTGTGATGTTGCGAACGCCCTAGAGCAGAGCACGCTGCGAGGTTTGCAATGCCTATACTGAATGAGGCATGCTTCATCTTGAGCTGCTGCTTGCAAGACGAGCGGCCGTTCGTGAGGCAGAGCCGTTAAGTTTTCATGCGACGCAGCGGGATCAAGAACATGGATGAGTGCAATAAATTGTTCTGCTCTCAGGTCTTGGCATTGACCACTCCCATTCCTTTTGGGCTGAGGTGGTTTTGATGTAGGGTTTCGGTTTTGCTATTTTCCACTCTGGGTTTAAGATCTTCAACGCTGCATGAGCAAGGCATGCGAACGTCTGCATTGTATACATCCGAGCACTTCAGATCCCTCTTGAAAAGCCACCATGATGGTTGTTGAAGGTTCACGGTTTATGAATGCCCAGTGTTGGATTAGATCAACAGGCCGGCATGTCCTTGCCCATCATCTCCTTCGTGTGTATTGCTTTTTTCAACACAACCCCATCAATTTCGGGTTTGGACTTCACCGCCCTTCTTGCATGGGGGTTTTCGTTTGCTGGAGAAACGCCCCTCCCGGATCGTGCCGGACTACGGTCTCTCCGGAGCACCCACTCCTTTTCGGCAGGCGACACATGGCTCGGTCCGCAGACTGGCGGGGTTGCGGGTTGACCAGGTACTCCTTGCTTCGCAGGGCTTTGGGTTTGCCTCCCATACTCTCCAGTTGCTCTTTTTCGGGTCTCGAGCTTCAATCGCCATCCATCATCTTCTTACATGCTTTAAGGCTCTTGCATCCCAACATCTCAAAAACAACAGAAAAACTAAGCACGAAACAGGGAATTGAAAGTAAAACACTGTGCACCATGGTCACTCTTTCTTTCACCACCGTCCGAATGTTGTGCCATGTTGCGTGGCAAGAGTTGCACTTTCGGTCATGAGGCAGTTGCTTTTTTGTTGCAAGCTGCAGGTCGGGTTGGAATTCTGCAAATATCAGGACCTGTTTTGTTTCAAAATGTTTCAAAGGGAAGTGCTGCATGCCTCGGCAAAATGAAGCCTTGCTGCATTTGCAGCAAACACAGCAGTTCAGCAAGATGCGGGCGTTAGGTCCACGGGTTTTCCGAGCCGTTGTGGGCTTGAGGGAACCAATCACAAAATTTCTGGATCATTCACTCCCGGGCCCTGGGTTCGTGGCAGCCACTCGTCATTTCCCGTCAGGCTGTTGAAGATTTCGGGAATGACTCACCCCGGTTGTAAGCCCAAAGGGTTTGCGAAAGAATCCATCCCTCGTATGGCACGGCATGTCGCATGGTGCTGCTGAAACAGGCGCTCTGACACTAGTGGCGAGTAATGAGCACGCATCGTTGGTGTTTGGCTCTTAGAATGGTGTGGGGCCCTGTTTTGAGGGAGGTCGCTGCCTCGATGTCGGAAGGGATTAAGTCCGACTTGTGGGGTCTTCGGTGTCCTCTGCATTGCCAGGGTACCTCCTTCGCCTCCCTCGTTTTTGCCTTCCTCCTTGGATTTACGGCTGCTCTTGGACTTTGTCTGGCAGCCTTCTTCCTCTTCTTCTATCCTCAATCTCGGCTTCCTCACCTCCTGCAAACCCGGGACCGTGCTCGGGATCCTGCGCCGGCTGGCCCTGCTAGACTGGCTTTGTATGGGCACGCCGGCCTCTGAGGCAGACGACATCACCCAGCTTTCCGCCTCTCGCACCCTGGAACGGCCTCGATCCTGCCACTCCCGTGGCTTGTTTGGGTCCTAGGGGTCCTAGTTCCGGTCTGTTAGGTAGGAGCCCTAAACCGCACACCCTGCCGCGCTTCGCCATTGAGGCCTCTTTCCCGGCCCTGCCACAGGTTCTTTTGGATTCGGTCTCGACGACCCGATTCAGGCAGGCTGCTGGGCAGCTGCTGTGATTGAGGGCCGAGGCCGCTGGTGCCAGCAGCTCCGACATTGCCGGGAGCTCGACTTTGAGGCTTGTTTCTCGGTGCCTCCTTCCCTCCTTTTCGACCCCGGCACTCCTGTCTACGCGGCCTTCCGGTCCACGGGGACCATGTTGCAGTAGAGTTTGCGACCGAGTCGCATGCAGCTTTGTTGCAGTCAGCGTCGCTGCTGTCAGAGTCCTCCCGCACTGGCCCCTGGGACGCCCTCATCATAGATGATTATTTTCGCCTGTCCGTCGAGGATCCCGACACGCCCCCTGCCGAGGCTGCCGCCACCCACAATGTCCTTGATGCAAAGGAGGTGTATCAGGCCGCAGTTGTGAAAGGGTCGGACCACAAAGACGTCCTCGGCTCCAGGCTTTTCCAAACCGCAGGGGCCCTCGTCGATTCCTCTGAGGAGACCGCCCAGGACAGCCTTGTCCTGGTCTCCCCGCCGACTGGAAAGCTTTTTGCCCTATCCATCATCAGCCTGCATGCTGCCAGCAAGCCTTTCATTTCAGAAGAACTCGCCTCGAACCTTGCAGGCTCTTGGATTGCAGCCTTGCTGTTTCGCCGATGCATGTTCTCTGTCCTTGATGGCTTCTTTGGTCTGTGTAAGTCCGATGCAGAGGAAGGAGGCTCAGGAGCTCGTCACCCTTGCCCCGCTCATGCCGGTGTTGTCCTCCAACATCTCTGCTGAGTGCTCCGAACTTCAATGTCCATGTTCTGCTCCGCCGCTGTGCCGCCCGAGGTCTCGGCATCTCTTTGGCTTGCGGATAAGAAAGGGAGCTACACGACTCTCCACACGAGTGGTCCTGGAGTCCTGCTGCAACTCATTTCGAAGACCGCGACGAAGGAGACTTTGTCGAGCCCGCGCCTGCAAAGCTTCTTGCAATGAACTACGACGTTCTCTGCATTTTCTCCGGGGCGGCCGAGCTCGCTCGAGCCTGCGCCACACTAGGCCCCTCTGCCTCTCCAATCATTGACCTTCGTTTTTCTCGGGAGTTTGACGTGCTCAGCCTGACTTGGGCCACCCACCTGCTCTGAGCCCAGGCTCTACTCCGTGTGCCGGGATTCTTTTCGCCCCTTCGAGCCCTAACCTTCGCCACAGGTGTCGCCCAATGCCGAGCACATCTGCTCAAGAGTGCCGAGTTTGAAGAGGCCTGGTCCGCTGGGCTCGAAAGCCTCCCCATCAATGATGTCCTCTTGTGGGCTAAGTGGGAGGTTGAGGCAGCTTGGAGGTGGGAAAAGCCCCGCCACATAAATTCCTTCCAGACCACCCCCTTACAAAAGGGAGGTCATCTGCCAGGCTCGGGGCTATTTGCATTGCGGGAGGCTTTTTCCCTGCATACGCTTTTGGGCCTACGAGGCTCAACGACTCGATGATGCTTCGCGCAGCTTCGAGCTACGCTCCCCTGTTGAGGCCAGTATCTTAGCTGGGATGAGGCCGTTGCTCACAACTTGCCGGGCTCAACCGCCCCTGTGTGAACTGGCTTCGACTCCTCCTCCTCATCCTCCTCCTCCTCCTCCTCCTCCTCCTCCGCCTCCGCCTCCGCCTCCTCCTCCTCCTCGTTTCCTGCATCCGTCCTCCTGCTGGTCTGTATTGCCCCCTGACCCTGCCTGAGCAGTCTGCTGACAGTTCCGCGAAGATCGCTTTTGAGGGCCGTGATTTCTCTTCTCACATCCTTGGTGCCCTCCCTCGAGCTTTTATTTTGTGATGGCAAGGCCAGGTCTGCGGCCGAATTCGAGGCGAAATGCTAGACTACTGGCCTGTTCCCCCTCACAGGTCTGCTGCCTCCCGGTTTCCCTTCTCTACAGGCCTTGCCGCACCGTGTGAAAGCCGCGTGCCTGAGCCGCCTTGCCTCTGTTGCGCTACTACTGCATCAGGTCAAGTCGCGTCCTCACAAGGACCTGAACAATCATGGAGGCTCCCCCAGTGTCGTCTTCCCGCTCTCGTGTTTTCAGGGCGGTGAGATCTGGGTGGAAGGAGCAGGCCCCGCCTCGGTGAGCTGCTTGACATAGCGGGTGGCCCGGTCTTCCTATAGACGGCTCGAGTCTTCACCTCACTAAGGACTGACCGGCGCCAGACCGGTTGCCGTCGCGCTTACCGTCAAGGACCCGTGGCGTGTTTCAGGTCCAGCCAGGACTTATGCCTCACGCCTAGGCTTCCCTTTGCCCAGAGCAAAGCGCCGTGGGCGGCGTAAGACTTCCAGCCACTCCCCTCTCGACTTTGAAGAAGGCCTTGATTTTCTGTGCGTCTTTGTCCTCTTACTACCTGGCTTCCTCACTTCCGCATCCTCCGCCTTTCTTGGGCCACGCAACGCTGCCGATGCTGCCTGCGCCGCGAGGAGGTGACCTGCTGGCTTGCCTGCAGGGAGGGTTGTTCTTCCGCGTGCAGGGTCGTACAGGGTCCTGCTCGTAGCTGCCTTTTGTAACTGGAAAGGACCTGCAGGCCCTCCTTGACGTCAAGCCTTTCGATGCTGAGGCTGAGCTTTGGTCAGGTATGGAAGAGACCTGTATGGGTCTGGGCGACCTTATTGGCACACGCCGAGACTATCTGTCCTTCGAAGGCAAGTACAAGCAGCCTGGGACATAGGTCTGGCCTGGGTCGCCGAAGAGCCGTATTCACATCATACAGCCCTGCGCCTGTCATCCTGCCCTGATTACTGCAGCGCTGGTTTGGGGTTGGGCGAGAGAAGCTGGTTGCTTTGCGCTCGCTTTTGGTTGCCTCATGCGTATCGGCGAAGTGAAGTAGTCAAGTGCAACAGGAGGTCGCTTATTCTTCCTGAGGATGTCGGCTTTACCCAAGGTTTCGTTCTGGTCCGGGTTGAGGAGCCCAAAACCAGAAACAAAGGTCCCAAGCATCAAGCCGCGACGATTAAGGCCCAGGATCTCGTGCAGGTCATCTCAATAGCTTTCGCTGCGCTCATGCCAGGTGAAAGATCTTGACCGCTTTCGGCGTAGACTCTGCGTAAGCGGCTTGCTTCTGGCGAAAGTCGGAGCCTCGCCTCCGCCAAGAGGCATCCGCGCCGCCGCGCCCTTGATCTTGGATCTTTCCGTGCCGGAGGGGCCACGTATTTATTACAGCAGACAGAGGATTCCGAACTGGTCCGGAGGCGGGGCAGATGGGCCTCCGCAAAAGTGATGGAAATCTACCTACAAGAGGTTACGTATCTGCCGGCTTTGTCGGCCGACCAGAAGAAGCGAAACTTTGCCATCGCCGTT